GCAGTCGTGGAGTCAGATTTAGCAGTAGTTGCAAGGGTGGAGGAGGAAGAGGCTTGAGTGTCCGTGCCGAGCGGAAGGCCTGAGCAAGAGGTCATTCGGTGAGAAAGACATGACCAGCGCAACGGAAGATGGAAGCAAGTACACACCTGAGGCCAAGGCGGCTATACAAATTGTCGTGGCGGATGCATCACGTCAAAGATGGTTGCAAGCAAAAATGAGGGCAAGCGAGGGCAGCGGGAGATGGCAGCAAAGGCGAATTGATGGAGATCGATGGTGCAGAGGTTCCGGACTCGAGGCGCGGAAAAGTCGCAACGTACCCATGACCGCGGCCACGACGATAAAAGTCCGCATGGCGATTGGAAAAAAAAAAAAAGCCCGCAGTGCAAGGCAAGGCCGACAGTAGATGATGTGCAATCCTTTGATAACGGCGAGCAGCAGGCCAAAAGTAGTGGTGAGATGAGATGGCGACCGGCTGATCAAGCTGCCCTTTACTCCTGACGTTCCCATCAACATAAAGGAAGAGAAGAAAAAAGAGAGAGAGAGAAAAAAAAAGAGTCTCTGGTTTGGACGATATGGAATCGGATGAACGACATGCTTGGGTGTACAAAGATGCCAGCAGCCTTTGCTCGATCTCTGCCTCTTTTCCTCTCGGTCCATGTCGCCCGACTGCCGTTTCAACTCGATCCCGCTCTCTCGCTGTTTTACCTTAAAAGCAGATCCTGCGATCGAACAGGTAAATGCAACAGGCATTCACAACAAAGAATGACGCTTGATGATCTTGCCACTTTCTGGAAGAATGTGTATTACTTCAAAGTAAAAATTGGTGCACGAACAATAGCGTCTTGCACATACAATCGTCAGACGATAAACACGAACGCAGTGATGGTTGAACTTCAAAGTGTGATTATTGACACAGTATCGTAATCAATTTTTCTTTCTCTCTAAATTCGCTCTCTCTCTCTGAAATTTTGAAAAAACGTCGCCGTTACAACATCTCACTGTGACTGCCGCTGCTGGTGCCTGAGCTAGTGCCTGAGCTGGTGCCCGAGCTACTGCCTGTGCTACTGCCTGTGCTGGTGCCTGTGCTGGTGCCTTCTGTGCTGGTGCCTTCTGTGCTGGTGCCTGTGGCTGCGATTTTGATCATCAATCCCTACGAATGTGCTTGAAAGTAGAGGGTCGAATCGGTTGAGTATCAATGGTAGTTGTTGTGGTAGCGGATGCGTGTGGGCCTGCGAAACGCACCGTCGTCTGCTGATCATGGCGCGTCGCAAGCTAAGCAAGGCAGAGGCCAGCCGTAGCTTTGAGCAATACTACAATCTCCTCTGTGAACAACAAGTGCGTCTCAACCCACGCTGCAATGTTTTGACGCTTGCCATCATTGACGGCGTGACCTGCTCTTTAGAGTACATGTCCTGCCTCGATGATGCGCACGCATCGCGCCCGTGTGACGGACCAACTCGTGCAGATCTGCGTGGATCGTCTCGAGCCCATTGACTGGTACCCATTGCTTGAGGCCTTACGGGTAAGGGTTTGCCGGGCGAAAGCTCCTCTATCTACCCGATAAAGACAGCTCATCGGGCCCAATAACGGCACCCTGGCCGCTGCGCTACACACTGCTCACCTGCAGGTCAATACACGCTTGCAAAAAGTGGTGCTTGTGAGCAAATACTATGGCATACATCGCACAGGTTGATTCCCCTGCCCGCTACCTCCTTGCCTGTCCGTTTTAACTGCTTTTCCTCCTTTGCAGCCCCAGCTTGCCTCGAAATCGGTGTGCCTAACTTTGCATGGCCGTGGTCGCTCTTGTGGACTGCCATGCACACAGCGGCGCGTCAGCAGCGGCAAAGGCATGCCACGCGGCGCAATCTGGGAATTTTGCCCCCATCTGCGACAAATCTACCAGTCATTCATCATGCCGCCGCGCTCGATGATCTCGTTCGGTACGTTCTCCTAGCCTCACTTTGCCGAGCATCCCTGCTCTCGCAATCTGGCCGCGGCAGTTCACATGGCTCAAATCACCGTCTTGCAGCGCTCTTTCGGCCCTGTTGCAAAATAACAAGGTCCTGACCACTCTTCAACTCCGTGGCTTGCCCTTTTCCTACCGTCAGCTCCAACGCCTCGTTCCGGTCAGCACCAGTCAATTCCACTTGCAATTCAGCATGCTGGCCTGCATTGTCTCAGCTACTGCAGGGCCTCACCGTTCATCCTTGTGCATGCACACGTGCCGCAGCACTTGGCCAGCCATCCAAGCTTGCTGACACTCGACTTTGTTGACTGCAAACTGGATGACGAGGCTATTGAAGGTGCGAGTCAGCCACAATCAACCAATGCGCTTGTTTCAACATGGCCATCGAGCTACTTGTTGACCAAATTGTTTTGCGGTGCTATAGCCCTGGCCACGGCTCTACAGGCCAGCAACAACATTATGGCAGCAGATCTCTCGCGCAACGCATGTGGCCAGAAGGGCGCCCGGGGTCTGGCCCAAGTGATTCGCGCGCAGGTCTGACAGCGTCCAGCATCTTGACCTGCACGGGTACCCCGCGTCGTGGCTGACAAGATGATGCACCTTTGGTGTGGTGGAATTCTCTAGAATGCCAAACGCGGCGCAGATGCATGGGAGCAGAGCTTACGCGGTCGAGGTGCCGATGTTTCGACCATGCGGGGTAATTATAGTCCGTTTAGGCGTGCTTCAACTTCAGGCGGTCATGGCGCTGGTCAACTGACCGCATCACTGGCACGTACAGGCTTGCGGTACCTGAGTCTGGATTTCAATCGGTCCATCGGTGATGAGGGTGCCATTGAGCTGGCCAACGCTTTGGCCGACGACACTTGGCTCTTGGGTAGGCGCCTCGAATAGCCCCGCGGCTCTTTTCCTACAAATGTTTCCGTTTTTGTCGACCGCGTCGAACAGGGTCTGACCGTGGGCTGTTGAATTTCTCGACAGAGCTGCGCTTGAGGGGGTGCGGCTTGACGCCGCATTGTGCAGATGCCTTTTTCACGGCCATGCGCACCAATTCGGCCCTCATTTTACTGGACGTGGGCAACAATGGATTGCCGGCCGCGGTGCGCGAGCGCTTGCAGCAAACCTCGGCCTTGAATCGCCCGGCAGTACGCGGCGAGCTCGATGAGTTTTCAGCCAATGCCTACCAGCAGCTGTCTAGCCACGCCCACTTGCTGGGAGAGATGGCCGCTTTGCGCCAGCATCTTCAGCCCACGCGTCGCTCGACCAAGAGCGCGAGACGCAAGGGTCACCGCAAGTCTGAGTCCAAGGTCGCGGCCGAGCACGTGTCCCCGCGCTCCGACCAATCCCCTCCTCCGCGTCTTGACAAACATTCCGTGGAGGCCACCACCCCCCTCGCCACGAGGGCACCAAGCACGGTGCGGTATTTGATGCGCACAAGTTGAATCTTTTGCCAGTTGCTTCGTAGCATGGCTGATCGTCCGTGTGTGGCACCAAACTAAATTCGTTAGGATCAATCGGCATTCTTGGACGAGTTGGAGTATGCCATTGACGACTTGGCTACCCGCGACCTGCAGGAGGAAGAAGCAGGTGTGTCGTGTCGTCACATCATCTGCTCGTTTTCACTTTTGTTTGATGCCCTCGACATGCGGGTCAAATATCTTGACCACGGTCGCTGTGATGCTAGGTGCCGAGGCACTGGCCATGCTGCAGGAGAGCATTCGCAAGCTGCATGCATACGTGGATCGTCTGCAGAACATGGCCTCAGGGGACGCGCCGCGGGTGGGCCAAGTGGTGAGCTGAAGACACTTTAATTCTATTATTTTATTTGCAAGTTGATCGTAGTGACTGGTTTTCAATTTTTTTTTTTGACACATCGAAGCGTGTCATTCATCCCTTTATGGCAGCCCTACCACTTGCCATGGTGGTTTGATACAAAACGTCTGTGGGCAGGGCTGGCTACCAGAGAGTAGCAGCACTGCACAAGCTTACTCTTTCTTGTTAAAGTCGAGATTGACGTGGACTGTCAGAATGGTGGTCACGTGCTCGGCCTCAATCGTTCCGCTATCATTGAAGGGGGAAAGCGGACATGAGAGCAAAGCGCCAACCAATGTGGCAAGGTGGTTCTGCACAGACGAAGGCATACCTTTGTTTGGGTTCAAGCAGGACAACGTCGTGTTGGGACAGGGCCTGGGGCTCTTCCTTGCCCACGATGCTGATCGACGCTTTTCCAGACTGCGTGGCGAGGTGTGAGGTGCGGAGGTGGGGTGGGTAAAGTGGGACACGTGCAGAGCGTGAGAGCAGCAGAGGGCATATGGGGTTGCATGAACACGAGTACCGGTTGGTCTTGGAGGCTTACAATGGTCCAGATCCAAGTTTGACCCGGGCGCTTGGGAATTGTGAGCTTTTGCTGTGATGCAATGCGGTGCGCAAGAACGGAGAGCTCATTTTTGAACATGGGAAAGCCCTCGGGTTGTTCCAAGGCGGAAGCGTTGCGGTCCAGAAACTACNCGGGGGGGGGGGGGGGGGGGGGTATACGAGGCGCGGAGATTAGCACTGGGGTGCGTGCACATGCTGTGGGCAGCGCGATGGGTGAGAGGGTGACGACCGACATCGTGCAGTGGAAACGGGGCTGGAAGAGTTGAGGTGGTGTCAATCTCTACTGGCGGATCGGCGTGCACATCCCCTACGCAAGCAAGAACATGAAGCACGGCAGACGGTGAATGGAGAGCAAGCGAGGGCCGATGGTCGGGCCGTTGTAGACTTGATTGGGTTGGGTTCGTTGGGCATACCATCCTGTGGTTGGCCTGTCTCATGAGCTTTTGAAGCGAAATATCTAGGCACGATGACAAGTACGCGAGAAGGTATCAGGGCGGTGAGCAAAGTTGACAGACAAAGCGTGAGGGGAGCAGCGGCGGCGTACTCGGTAATAACGGGGCCAAGTTGCTTGCCAAGGTCCTCACAGTAGAACCAGCGTTCCCAGAGGGGTGTCGAATCATCGGCTTGGTAGTATCTAGCAGGCACCAGGCGCACGGGCATGGTCAAGGCTGCAGGGAAGGCGCGAGAGCAGAGAAGAGAGAGCGCAGGTCTGACCGAAGGCCATCCCATTCGGAGCGGAGGCGTTCGCGCTCAATAACGAGGCCGACGGTGTCGGCAAAGCGTTGGGGGGAGTGGGGAATGCGGCCGGGTAGCACAAATATCTACAGGCGGGAGCCAAGCAGCTCTTCATGTATGAGTCAAGCGTATCTTGGCCAAGTTCTGGAGCAACGTCGATAAAGCAGCCACTTGGACGTCGCCTCTGACCTCGCCTTCCTTGATGCGAATGTCCTTGGGCTGGCCTCGCTCCATGACACGGAGCACCATGTCACCTTTGACCTGATAGAAGAGCTGGGAAGGGACAAGGATGAGCGGGCTGTCTTGATTGTCCAGGGGCGCAGAGTCGTTCAAGAGCTGGGCTGGGCCCGAGTAGAAGGAGGGCGCACGCTTCAAGACATACCTCTTCGCCTTCTTCAATGTGAAAGTCACGGCGCTGATTAGGACCTCCCACAAACATGATCTTGAGCTGGCCGTGACCCTTCCTGCAACACCCATGCAGGCCATGAACAGAAGGCAGGATCGTCGGCTCGGCGGGGGCCGGGCGCATACGGACATGAGTTTGTTGCAAACGGGTGGCACAAAGGAGGCCTTGTTGTCTTCGATCCACTGCATCATGTTGGCGGGGGCATCCACAGCTGGCTTGGCCCGCTTGGCCTCGGTCGGCGCTTGCGGCTGCTGAGCCTTTGCCTGTGCTTGCGTCGTGGCCATGCTTCTCGTCCGTCGTCAACTCCACCTGTTGTGACATGGCCCACACAGTGAGCTGATCCAACCGCTCACCCTCTCATCTCCCCAACCTCCTTCCATGCCAAAGACTGCCATCAAAGATCAAGCCGGGCACAGACCATCTCCATCGCGGTAACCTCATCTCCCCGCTGCCACACACACACACACACACACATAATAACCTGACATGCTTGCACACTGACCTCAAGCTGATGTTGAAATAAATGAGAGAGAGAGTTTGTGAGAGAGAGAGTTTGTGAGAGTTTGTGTGTGAGAGAGAGAGAGAGAGAGAGAGAGAGAGAGAGAGAGAGAGAGAGAGAGAGAGAGAGAGAGAGAGAGAGCACTCCTCGTGTCTTGGAGCCCTTTCTGTTTATGGTGCAAAAACTCAAAAAGCTTTGGTGCTGAATGAACCACGAGGAGATGGCTTTAAAGGGAGGGTGAGTTGAATTGTTTGCGCTGTGTCGAGGGTGGTCTAAAAAAAAAAAAGGAAGAGAAAGCTAGACAGACAGAACACGGGTGCATACACAAAGACGAAAGGGGGTCGGGAGAAAAAAAAAAAAAAAGGAACAACCAAAAATAACGGAAGCTTGGGGATGGGCTCTGAAGACTTTAAACTCACGCGTCGTGATCAGAGCCGGTCAGTGCTTTGGACAAAGAAATTAAAACAACTGAACAAAAGGCCCACGAAGCATCAGCTTAGAGGATGCGGTTGCCCATGGCAGAAGCCGTGAGGGCCAGGCCGAGCTCAACGGTTTGCTCGCCCAGCTCCTGCTTTGACTGCAAAGACGCGACAGCCAGATGGGGCAATCGGACAAATGGCGGTGAGAAAAGCACAAGAAAGGATGCGCCGCAAAGCCAATCAGAGTGGATAGGTGTTTAAAAACAAGAAGAAAATGGAAAGAACAGGCTGGCACGTACCATCTCGCCGTTGAAGGTGGGGTTGACCTCTACGAGATCCATCGATGCGAGGCGGTGGGTCTCGTTGGCGGCTTCGGCAACGTAGTGAGCCTCGCGGTAGGTGAGACCACCACGGACTGCGGTGCCCGTGGAAGGGGCAATGGCAGGGTCGCAAGCATCAATGTCATACGACAGATGCAGGGGACGCTCGCCCAAATGGTCAAGTGCCATCTCCATCACCTGCACATCAACCACAGAAGGTAGAAAAAAAAAAAAAAAAAGGCCCAAAGCATGAAGCAAGGTATCGAGGAGGTGAGACACGAGTTTCCATCTTGTCAAGGTGAAGGGTGCGGGCGAGGGTGCCGCCGCCAACAACGACGGGGGTGCCGTGACGTACCTTGCCAATGCCAAACTTATCGACATGGGACATGGTAAAGGCCTTGATGTTGTGTTGACGAATGATATCGCGCTCGGGCTTGTCGACGTCACGGAGGCCAATGTAGACGAGTTGGGTCGAGGGGTCGAGGGCGGGTACACGCTTGAGCCAGTCAAAGCCGGGCACCTCTTCGGGGGCGACGAGGCGCGAGAGGAAGGCCAGGGGCATGCCGTGCATGTTGCCCGATCCGGAGAGGGCCGGGGTGTTGATGTCGGCGTGGGCGTCGACCCAGATGACGCCAGTCTCTGGGCGAACGAGCAATTGGCCAGCAATGGTGCCGACGCCAATGGAGTGATCACCGCCGAGGGTGAGAACGAAGCGGCCCTCGCGGGCATGTTCCTCACACACTTCGGCAATCTGGCGGTTAGCCTCGCCAACCACGTAGGGATGCTTGCACGATCCCGGGCCCTCATAGCCTGTCAAGAGAGCAGAAGAGTTGAAGAGGTGAATCGGAGGGTGGTGCTTCCAGCGAGCGCGCCGCGAGGACGATTTTGAACACCCTTGGGTGTGCCTCATGGTGTGCCTGAAATGGGCGGCACACTTACGAGGGTTGCCACGGGCGGGTGATTCAAAGGTAATATCACCGTGCTCGTAAGCACGCCAGCCCAGACGGAGCAGGGCCTCCATCAAGCCAGCGTCACGCAAAGCCTCGGGTCCTGAAGTGGGACAGTGCACAAGGAAAAGTATGATGAGCCAAAAGGGGAGGGGGCGGCATGCTTGCTTGCTTTGTGTCCACGAGAGCAGGCGGGGACACTGACCGTTATCGACACCATATCGGGGTTGACCGTAGGTGAAGGGGGCACCAACAATGGCACACGTCTTGGGCTCTTTCAAAAACTCGGGGCAATCCACCTGAGCGATCACATGCCCAAAAAAAGGGGGGCGAGGGGCGGATCGTCAGGCATGGGTGGGCGTATATGTGTGCGAGTGTGTACAACAACAAAAACAACGCGGGGGTGGGTGCCTACCTCAACGCGATGGACGGCGTCAATACCGGAGCGAACTTTACCCCAGCCCATGCCGGCTGAGCTGGCGAGTTCGCTGGTCTTGGTGGCGTGGCATCTAGAGGCGGAGGTGAGATCCCAACGCAAGGGTGAGTGCTGAGCAGCTGCGAGAACAAGAGATGCAATCAAGCAGAGAAGAAAGAAGAGGGGGACAGGGACAGGGAGAGAGAGGGAGAGGGAGAGGGAGAGGGAGAGAGAGCAGGTCGCCAGTCATACCGGGCTTGCTGAGCGCTCAACAGGCGCAGAGCGGCGGCCGTTCGGGTCGACAGCATGTTGATGGTGTGCGTCAAAAGTTCTTTTTTTTGAAAAAGTCAGTTGATAGATGGACGGGATCGGACAGCTAACACGTCGTCGTCGTCGTTGGCGTCGTCGTCGCAGCAGCAGCAGCTCAAAGTGCACCAGCGATCCAGACCACAAGCCAAAAAAAAATGAAGCTCTTGCACTGGAGAGAGAGAAGAGAGAGAGAGAGAGCGCGCGCCAGAGAGAGAGAGAGCACGCGCATGTGTGTGTCGCAATGAAGGTGATCATCGTCACACACACACACACACACGCGTGACACACTTGAACTTGTTATGACTTTACCCCATCTCTCTCTCTCTTTCTCTCTTTGTTTTCGGCTTTTGTTCTTCTTCTTTCTTCGTTGTTTGTGTGTGTGTGACGATTACAGACGCGCGGTCGTCTCTGACACTCTCTCAGAAAAAACATTGTTGACGAGCATGATTCTTCTCTTCTCTCTTCTCTCTTCTCTCTTCTCTCTCTTCTTCTTCGAATGGGATTTCTGCGACTGCGCACGTTGAGAATGGGTGTGTGTGTGTGTGTGGCGTTGAGGTAGCATGTGACAAAGCATGTCACTCCTCGGGAACGAATCGGGTTGGGGTCGGGCCGTGGCATCCCCCCCCGCCTGCGATGCATACTGCGTCCGCTTCGGTCCTGGCTGGCTTGCTCCTCGTGCCACCGCCGACACCATGGTGTCTGAATCGACCAAGCACACACGGCCAAACAGTCCACAACCAAACACGTTGAGGCAGCAGAGGAGCATTGCTGAAGAACTGGGATTGGAATGAGAGCTGATGATGATGATGCCGCTTGAGGCCGCCAACAACATTTGCACAAAACAGAACACGACCTGGCGAGCGCTGCCATTTGCCTGGATCCCAGCCCAAAACGTCAAAAGTCAAAAAGTATACTACCATCTACATTAATCAATACAGTTATCTCGTTGAAAACTACGAAAACTTTGAATACTGCTACAAGAATAAGATCAGGAAGGCCACATCAGCACAAACCCACTCCTCCTTAGGCCGTTTGCCACGAGTTACATGTGCACCACCACACCATCCACTGCGCACACCATTCCATTGCCGCAAACGACGCAGCACACTTCACTGCTTTCGCGCTTTGACAATTTTCGGCTAAAATGATTCATCTTGTCCGACGAAAAGGGTCCGAGCGACACTTGTCTGACGAAAAGGGTCCGAGCGACACTTATCGAAGAACATCCGTTGTATACAGCATACTAAGACAATCTCGCCTGTGAAACATCTATTTTAAACACGTGTTCTTCGGGAAGGGGCTTCAAAAAGTCTGACATGTGAATCGCGCTCAAGTGCTCACTGCGTTCGAGAAAAGAGGATTTTTGGCGAAAATCTTGCCGCGACTTCCGTGCTCACAACATGGCTGACTTTGTGACAACTCTCGTGTCATTAATCTCAAATCTCACTGTCTTCGCATTTACACACTTTTAGGCTTAAATTTCGTTCTGAATGTAGGAGCACCTCGGCGAAGTTAAAAGAGGCTATTGGCATCTCACTGCTTTCGCAACTGAGCGATTTCAGCTGAAAACGCCACTTGACTTCTCATGAGAAGAAAGTTCACTGACTTTGGCTTCTTTCTTTCCCTTGAGACCTTTCCTGTATCTCACTGCCTTCGTGATCGTGCGATTTTACCTGAAAACGCCACTTCTGTGAAACTTCTGTAGGGTTGTGGTGAACTTGACTTTCCTTTATCTCACTGCTTTCGTGATGACGCGATTTTAGCTGAAAACGCCACTTCTGTAAAACTTCTGTAGGTGGCTTTGCAAAAAAAAAACTTCTGTAGGTGGCTTTGCTTGCTTGCTGCTGAGAGAACGAATAAGTTGGCTCGTCACTGCCTTCGCAAAATTGTGTTTCAAGGCCATAAACTCGTTCGGAATTCATCAAGCACAGTCCGGTCTGGTCGCATCAAGCGAAGCACTCTTCGGTCCGGTCCGGTCCGGTTGATTCATCAAGCACCCTTCGGTCCGTTTGCTTGACTCCTTCCTTTTATGCTGACCACCAACGACTACGATACATTCTTTCCGTGACCTACACGCCGCAAAACGCAGGAGGGGTTTCTATATCCGAGCAACTGCTGTACACACTCATCCGGTTGATGTTTGTTCTTGTTATGGGTGTCTACGCCAAGCTGATTCACACACTCCCTCCCGGCTCGTTTCAAAGGCAAAGGTGGTGCGGTGCGGTGTGGTGTGTATGTTGAGTACGAATGAGGTTGCTTTAGCATGAGCTTGTATCCTGATGTTGGTGCCAGTCAAGCCAAAACCACCTTCACGGTTTTGTCTTTCTTGTCCTAAAGCTGTCTTTGCGCATACAATGACACATGACCTCGGATTGCTTCATGATTTGCGAGCATCAACTTTGTCAAGTCAAATCTCGTACTGGGCCCGATGTTGCAGTGCCCGAATCCCATTGCTTTGGAGCAGATCAATATGTGGCGCTCAGCGCCGTGGCCAAGTCTCCCGGCGTCGCCCAGTATGTGACTTGAGCCTGTACATCCGTCTGCAGGCGTGGTGTTGACGGGCGAGAGGTGATGAGGGACAGGGTTGAACAACACTAGCAGCGACCCGCCGACACAAGCTTGGTCCTGGCAAACACTGAGCACCTTCGCACCTCGGCCTCGAGCCGTTTCTGCAGCGGATAGCCGGCGCGTGCAAGCACCCGATCTGACCTGGGTCCCGTCCAGATACATGGGAAAAGCCATGAGCAAGAGATGTAATGACATGGTACCACATGGTGCATGATATCAAGCATAGGACAGGAATTACGCACGGGCCGAGCCGTAGACTGGGACAGAGGTCGTTACCACCATCCCCGGCATAAACGATCGGCACGCCGGGATGCGCAGCTCGCAAATCATCAACAATGGCCCCCTGGATCCGGCAAGAAAGACCACGTGGCCCAGGGTTGAAATCAAGCCATGCTGCCTGACCCTCCATCGCTTTCCTGCATTTCTTCTCCCCCGCCTTTCTCGGCCCCACTTGCCAGTTTTATCTTCACCCTAACCCCAAAGCGCGAGCAGGAAGAGGATGTTGTTCAGACCTTGCACATGTTGGGGGCACGCGCACAGACGGGGCAATCATGGGGCTCGGGGAGATATGGAGCCACCCGTAAGCGTCCTAGTCATGCGGTGAAGCTGAGTTGGTTTGGTTTGCCGATCCAGGGCCTATGTACAGCACCACGTACGCACCATTGTCAAAGCGGCCCGGGTTTGTAAAGATGCGGTCACCAAAGACGGCAGTCAAGTCATTGGCCTGCAGGATTTCTGCGATGAAAACTGTATTGGCATCCGAAACAATGTGCAGTCGCGCATTGACCGTGGTCGTGGCCGCTGCCTGCAGCTCGGCTCGGAGGGCTGGCTCGAGTGTCACGGCCCTCAACACTTGCTCAATAGCTGCCTGCTCGTGGCCCTTCTCAGCCAGCCGTCTATGAGGCGCTTCCGGCGGTGTGAGACGGGACATGGCGCATGTGCACATGCAAGACCAAGCCGAGACACGGACTCGCACCCCAAAACGTGATCCATGAGCCGCGTCCATTGCATATCGCTGGCGCGCAGCTCGGCATATACATCCTGGTCCAATGCCTTGATGACATGCGTGTCGCTGTTCAAGTCGATCAGCGTATTGTCGAAATCAAACACCCACAGCGCCCTCGGCGCCGCTTCCTTCGCCATGCTTTCCCTCTACGAGTCCTGATATCCGGCATTCAAGCACAGACAGGGTCCGGTCCGGTCCGGTCCGTCCAAAACAACACGGAAAAATAAAAGTTTTATCAACAGTTAAAGAGAGAGAGAGAGCAAAGAGAGAGCAAAGAGAGAGCAAAATTACCCCATGTAAAGAAAGAGAAAGAGTTTTAGAGAGTGTTGATTGAGAAAAGAGCCAAGAGAGAGAGAGGAGAGCAAAAGTACCACATGTAAACAAAAGAGAGAGAGAAAGAGAGAGAGAGGTGTGTGAGTCGAGAAGAGAGAGGCACACAGAGAGAAAGAGAGAGTGTGTGTGTCAGTGACTTATCAGAGAGAGAGAGAGAGAGAGCGAGAGAGAGAAGTGAATTGGTTTGAGAGAATTTCTCGATTTTTCAAAGGTGTGTTAATGTTGATGTTGATGTTGATGGTGGTGAATGTACTGGCAGCGGGATCGTCTTGGGAGGAGGTGTCAGTGGCTTGAGCAGGAGGGGGAGGGGAGACCAGGTGACTTAGAGCTCTGCAGGTGCTTGTAATGGGCTCGGCGATCTCATGATGTGATGTGATGCGCTTCCTCTCTAAAAGTGACGACGCCGGAGTGCTCAGGACCGTCGCAATGGCCGCCCGGCATCAGATCAAGCTGTTTTATGACGTGCTGAGCCCCTACAGCTACATTGGCTTCCATGTTTGTGCTGCCCGAGCGTGTTGTTTGACCCTGGTGATCGCACCGCGTTCATTCACCGCTCACTGCTCACTCCTACCTGATGCACTGGGGCCCTCCCGGTTGTAGGTCATGCGCCGCTATCAACGCATCTGGGACGTTTCGCTCCAGCTGCGTCCAGTGCTGATTGGAGGCATCTTCAAAAACACTAGTCGGTCTTGGCAGATCCGACACATATGCGCCAAATCGCATTGCAACCCATCGGTCACATGCAAGATGAAATTGGGCTCACCTTGTTCTGCTGCTTGATGTTGGGCCCATGCTCTCTTAGAGAACGCACCCCCAGGCCTCAACAAGATCAAGTTTGATTACATGCTCACCGATCTCAAGCGGCTGGCTCATACCCATCAGCTGCCCTTGTCACCAGCTCCCAATACCATGGAGTACATGTTCAAGGGTGGTGCGTCTCGATTTGCGCCCATCTACTTTTTTTTTGGTTGTCCCTCTTCCTAGCTCTTGCGTGCAGCCTCATCACATGATTCGGTCTTGGTGCTTGCTATCGTCATGGGTTTGGTGGCCCCAGGCTCCCTGCAGGCCATGCGCTTGTTGACAGCTGTGGCTGCAGATCAGCCCGAAGCACTAGAGGATGTCACCGTCGCTCTTTTTGATCGCAGCTGGGGCAAAGTATGTTGGCACTCTCCCCCAAGATCACAACTCGATTCAGAGCCAGATGGCTGCTCTCTGATCTCGGAAATCACTCGGGACCAATGTAGGGCGTCGATATCAATGCAGAAACTAGCTTGCAAGAAGCATGTGCCGCTGCCAAGCTACCCACCGACACTGCCCAAAAGTTCGGCCCATCGTAAACATTTGCCGCTTCGAACCCTGTCCATCCCACTGTTGATTTGACCAAATTATCGCCCGCGCGTTGCCTGGTTGGTCTTTCCCCACCAGTCTGATTCAGGCCTCACAAACGGATCGTATCAAGGAACTCCTCAAGAGCAATACCGACGCTGCGCAACAATACAATGTTTGTACCACACAATCACCACCACCACGACAAGACATGATCCCTGCCAAGCCCCACCTGCCTCCCTGAGCTCATGGCCTGAGGCGCCATTTGTCTAGATTTTTGGCCTGCCCAGCTTTGTTATCGATGACAAGGACATGTACTTTGGAGCCGATCGCATGGACGTCATTGCAGCTCAACTGAGTACGTGCACGTGTGGGCACATGGTTTAATGCATGCGGCATGCCCGTGTCGGTCGTGCTCATGGTGCTACTGATGTAGATGAGCCCTGGTATGGTCCTCTTGCCAATCCTTATCAAAAGGACGTCCAGGAGCTCATGAGCGGCAAAGCCAAGCTTTAGAGCCGAGGGACCCGGGCGCGACTTTGCCATGGTAGCTGTCGTGGTTGTGCGAATCACAGGTGCTCAAGCTCAAGTGAGCTTTGGGACATGTAAAAGCGGCAAGTGGAGCTTTTCTATTGCCCTCGCTGCTTCGCACAGCATCAGTCATCGCGCGTTTTGAAACAATACGAGTCAATTATGAATGTTGGGGGCCGATACTGAATAACTCAAGCGATAAGATGGCATGATCACCAAGGCATCGAACCACAACCATGGGTGTGGAAATGGCTTCGTCATGCCAAGGAGGTCTGGTTCATACCCATATCACCCGCCGATGGCATCGGCATTTCCCACTGTGACTGTTGATGGAGCACGTGGACGTAGTAGTACCGGTCATGCTCCTGGCTCCAGAGACGCTGCCAGCCGGCGGGTAGGGGGCGCATGGCATATTGGTGCTCAAAGTCCACGCCATGTCGAGGTAGCTATTCGAGCCATGCACAAGCGTACATTGAGGGATGAACACGAGGGGCATCATCAGTCATGGCACTGCAATCGTTTAATATAAACCCCCGGTGGGCGGGCTTGGGTTGGAAGAGGAGCACGTGTTTTACCGCAAACGGATCAAATGCCGGCTTGTTGTGTTGAGCGGAATCTGCCATGGCATTGCGTGCCGATCATTGGGGACAGGCAGTGAGTCAAAGTTATCAGGTGATGGGGCCGAGACAAAAAAATCAGTGGATCTTTATCCCGCGAAACAGAAGAGGGAAAGGGAAAGAGGAGCGCAGGCTATAGAATGCACCTGAGAGCATGCCGAGCGCAGCTTGCAGCTCTCGGATGGAGTGACTGGCACCCAGGGCTGGTTTGACCGTCTGCCCAGAGGCACCAAAATCAGTTTGACCGCTGGGTGTTGCAACCTTTTCGTCACTCTCTGAACACAGCTTGAGCGTAGCCAGATCGGACGACGCTGCAGAGGAGGCATGCGTATTGATGGGCTCTGTTGTTGAAACATCCGCAACAGCATCCGTGCGGTCGTGTATCAGGGCCGACGATGTGGGAGGAGAGTCTGCAGTTGCCTGCGTGCGGGGCACAGTCACAAGAGTCTGTTCGACGGGCTGGGCCCATTTGTCCAGTGATTGAGGCTCTGGTGGGCTCGTGGCAGGGGCTGGTGGGATTGCTGCAGGCGCGACGCGCCCTGGACGCCGCACCCAAAAGCGCCAGCGGCGGTGGCGATCCGGCCGGCGATCCGGTGCGCGCGACCTCGATGATCCCCCACAGCAGCCCCAGCGCCGCGGAGGCGTAACCACGCGCACAATAGCAAGGCGGTCTGATGCGTCCACGGCTGCTGCTGCCGCGGGGGCATTTGCCAACGGCGCCATCGCGGCAACCCGCGTGCTTGATCTAGGCATCCTTCAACCCGCCCTCAGCTCCCGCAATGGTGCGAGCGCGTGCCCCAAACACCCCACATCCTGTCCACAGCCAGCCCTCGCTTCAACAATGGGCTCCACAATAAACGCACATCCGAATACATATACCGCGGCTGCCTTGGGGGAAAATTATGCCTCTGAATCATCCAGCCCAAAGAGCATCGATTGCCCCATCCCCCCCTGCTGCTCGTGTCGCCGCCTCTCTCTCTCTCTCTCTCTCTCTCTCTCTCTCTCTCTCTCTCTCTCTCTCTCTCTCTCTCTCTCTCTCTCTCTCTCTCTTGGAAATTCACAAAACAGCCCTAAATGACAAAATGTAGAGGTGTTGTTAATACTCGTTGGATGTGTCTGACAATGGCTCCGAGATTGCATGTTCGGAGCTAGTCGAGAAAGCTCGGAGCTATGCACCTGTTCGTGACACGGCCTAACCCCAGGCACTCCTACAAAATTCCGGTGGCACCAGATGACGGGAGCTTGATGGTAGGATTGATTGGGAGGGTGGGGACTGCTTGGCCTTGTTGACACACGTGCGAGTGGCACCATGCCAATCCACCATCGCGATCGCTCGCCCACTCTGCAGCCTAGAGCACGTCGGAGCGTGCGTGCGATCGGCCGACTGATGAACTTGTGATCCCACTCGGCCGCCTTGGTGCATTTTCTCGCGTGGCACCAGACCCAGAACCACAGTCTTCCCCCAAATCATCTTTCCCTAAACTTCCTTCAAGAACACCACCACCCGTCATCGGCGCCATGCAGAATCTTCGCGCCGTGTACGATGTTGTGATTGTTGGCGGCAGCTTTGCCGGCTCCGCCGCTGCCCTGCAGCTCGCGCGCGCTTCGCGTTCAGTGCTGCTGTGCGACGCGGGTGCGCCTCGCAACGCAGCATCGCCTGCCGCTCACGGCGTGCCCGGATTTGACGGCGTGCCGCCTCGCGAAATATTGCAGCGCCTGCATAGCGAATTGGGCCAGTACGAGACATGCAATCTACGCTCAGCGTGGGTGGACAAGGTGGAGGCACTCCCGGAACCCGCTACAGGCTCGGCGGCCCCTCGCTTCCGCGTCTCTCTGCGAGCAGGTGAAGCCGCGGCCGAGGACGACGGGTCTGTTGCGACGCAAGAAGTGCTGGCAGCGCGTGTGATTCTGGCTACGGGTGTTCGGGACCAGGTGCCCGCGATACCCGGCATGAACGACTGCTGGGGACGCACCGTGCTGCACTGCCCGTATTGTCACGGGTACGAGGTCAAGGGCCGAGCGCTGGGCATTTTGGTGCTGCACAAGGCTGCCGCCCTGCACCAGGCTCGCATGCTCGTTCAGGATTGGAGTCCCAACGTGACTCTTCTGGGTCAACCCGAGCTCGAGGCTGACGAGGTGGCACAGCTGGAGCACAGCAACATCCAAACCCGCTCTTTTGACATCAAGGACATTGCGCGCCTTTCCAACACAGACACCGACGGGGTGCGCATTGAGCTCCAAGACGGCCAAGCGCACGAGTATGCTGCTCTCTTCACCCAGGCGCCAGTCGAGTTGCCGGACCTGATCCAGCGCCTCAATTTGCCCGTTTGCTTGGGTGGACCCATGGAAGTCCCCTATATTGATGCCGACCCGCTCACCTGTGAGGTGAAGGACCACCCAGGCCTCTATGCGGTCGGTGATCTCATCAACCCAGCTGCACAGGTTCTGCAAGCCATGAGTACCGGGGCCCGTGCCGCCATGTTCTGCCACCAGACCCTCCTACTTCACTAAACGCAGGCACCCCCCAAGCTCCGGCTCACATGACATGCGTGCGTGCGTGTGAGTATGTGAGTAGGTGTGAGTGTGCGTGCGTGCTTGTGCGTGTAATCCGGCTGCTTCATGTTCTGTCTCCTGTCCCTCCCTTTCGAATCCTTGGCAGAGTCCCAACACCTGCTTCTTTTACACGCTAGAAATTGCAATGTGCTCCCTTTTTTCTTTTCTCACTGTCACTGTGGATGACAGCTTGATTCTATCATGCCCCATGGTCATGCAATCGCTTGGATCCGCGCTTCGCTCGACAACATCCTGAATGAACCGCCCATAGCCTTGGTCAGGCGATGTTCACTCATACGCACACACACACACACACACACACACACACACACACACACACACACACACACACACACACACACACACACACACAACGTTCATATATTTGCTGACAAATTTAAAAACCGTTTCTTTCCGTTTTTTTTTTTAAACCTTGTGTGCGTGCGCTGTGCCTTTGATGGGAAAGGGCGGCTTTTTGGTGTGAATGCACGTATATCTGGGGGAAGTGGGGCGGCGGTGACGGCGGCAGTGGTGGCGACGGACGATAGAGATAGGTTTTGTGTATTGGTTCAGGGGAAGTGGTGGGTGACGATTTGAGCCAGTGTTATGGCAGACTCGGACCAGGCTCCTGCCTTGCGCGAGGCGGCGGCACGATTACTCAAGGGGCTCAACGCAGAGCAGCGGCTGGCAGTCACAGCGGGCGAGGGGGCTACGGTCGTGGTGGCCGGTCCCGGTTCGGGCAAGACGCGCGTGATTACTCGTCGTGCCGCCTGGTTGATTGAGCATGGTGTGGCACCCTCGGAGGTTGTGCTCATGACGTTTACTCGCAAGGCGGCTCGGGAAATGCGTGAACGCCTCGACCAACTCTTGGCACAAAGCGGCGCTGCAAGTGGCGCTGCTGCCGCGGGTCAGCACCGGGCCGGACAGATCATGGCTGGCACCTTTCACTCCTTGGCCCTGCGCTTCCTCCGCCGATACAGCCATCTCTTGAATTTGAGCCAAAATTTTACCCAGATTGACACGGAAAGCCGCAACCGCATCCTGCGCGACTTTATCAAGGAATGCAAAAAGGCCGCGCCAGAGGGCGAAGAGTCTGAAAAGAGCCTCAAACCCTCTGTCGTTGGCAACAACATCAGCCGCATCAAGATGATGCGTCTCACTCCCAGCGAGGCCCAACAGGAGCTGAGGCGTCTCGAACAGCACTCTGAGCTCTCGCCCGAAAACAGTGACCTCTACAACCTCCTGTCGTCCACCCTTCCATGCTATGAGCACTATGCTGCGGTCTGCGAACGTGAAGGCCTCATCGACTATGACGACATGCTACTCAAATGTGAAGAACTTTTTTCCAAGGCCCCGCACGTGGTCAAACCTTACAGCCACATCCTCGTGGACGAGTTTCAGGATACCAACCCCGTCCAGTACGACATGGTCCGTCACCTGGCCCACAGCGGCAATCTCTTCGTCGTCGGCGATCCCAACCAGTCCATCTATGGCTGGCGTGCCGCTCAAGCCGATGGCTATCGCCGTATCTTTGCCGATTTTCCTGGCACCAAGCAAGTGTCTCTGGCCGAAAACTATCGCTCAACTGGCGCCATCCTCAGCCTCAGCTCAGACCTGATCAATCAGAACCAGGTGGGTTGCGCTTGTTCCGCGAAAAGCCTTGTATGGTGGCCTTACGTTGTCATGTAATAGCTGCGCGCTGCCCTTCACGGCCTCCCCATGCCCTCAAATCGTTCGTCTTCATGGTAGGAGAAAAGCCAAATCCGCCTGCGGACCAGTCTGGCGCGCGGCCCTGCTGTTCACTTTAGCACTTATTTGGTCAGCTGCCCGATACCATAGCCAGTGAATCCAACAACTCTAGGGGTTACCAACCCTGTTGCCTAGCTGCTCCCAGTCGCTCCCATCTCATTTGTACACGTGCATGTGTGGGTGCTCCTCTCCCTTGGCTCAGTCCAGCGATCAAGAGGCTTACTATACCGTCGGCGCCTTTGTCAAGATGCTCCACACCATGAGCCGTTCGTCAGCCCGTATACGGCGCTTTGTTGTTTGCGCACCACCCAACCTTGTGCTGTAGTTTCTCGCGTGCTTACTCATTCGCGTCGCGGGCCACATCCCGCATTCGCTGTTTTTTTTTTTTTTTTTTTTTTTTTTTTTGCCTCCACGCACTGCTTTGTCTGCCTCAGCTTGGCTGCGTTTGTCCGACTTTGCCATTTTGCTCCGCACCAACGCCATGTCCCGTGTCTTTGAGCAGGTAGGTCTGTTGCCTCTTAGCCGTTCCTTCGCGGCGCGCTGAACCTCACTCGGTGCCCTTGGTCGCTCTAGGAGCTGAGCCGGTGCAATCTACCCTACCGCATGGTGAACGGTGTGCGGTTCTTTGAGCGCGAGGAAATTGCCGACTTGGTCGCCTACCTTCGCCTGGTCCTCAATCCTGACGACAATTCAGCCTTTACACGCGTTTTCAACCGGCCCAGACGTCAACTCGGGGCCAAGGCCCTGGCCTCGTTGCTCGAGTCAGCTCAGACTGACAAGACGAGCCTTCTGGTTGCTGCCCAACACTCATCCAACAAGAATGCCCGCCAATTTGCTCGCATTATCACGGACTTGCGCGAGCGCCTTGGTCACGTTGATCTGCCTGAACTCGTGCTTCACCTTATTGAGACGATTCAATTCAAGGAGCACCTGCGTCGCTCCTTTGCAGACAAAGACAAGCGCAACTACGAGTCACGCCTCGAAAACGTCGAAGAATTGGTGGCTTACGCACGAAATGTGCAAGAGCAGGCTCAAGAGGCTCAACATGAGGCTCCTCTTGATTCAGCGCAGCCTCTGACCCCGCAAGACATGGGCCTGGCCCAGCTACGCCTCTTTATGGACCAGGCCACGCTGCATTCCACGGCTGACGTAGAGGACCAGGACGATGCCATTACCCTCTCTACCGTGCACAGCGCCAAGGGCCTTGAGTGGGCCGTCGTGGCCATTCCTGGCGTCGAGGATGGGTTGTACCCCCATGCCAACGCCAAGCGCCACCGGAACCCCACCAAGCAGGTGGCAGCTTTGCACGAAGAACGGCGTCTGCTATACGTAGGTATCGCCATGTCTAGAGTCACTCGTGCCCGGCTGCCCTATCCAGTCACTGGCCACGAAAAAAAGCCTGCACGCTCATTGCAACTACTGGCCATGCCCATTCGCGTTTTAGGTGGCGTGTACCCGAGCCAAGTTTGCGCTACTCCTGTCCCGGGCCAAGGAGCGAAAGACTTGGGCTGAAACCACTACCACCGAGCCTTCGCCCTTCCTTCAGACAATCTCGGCACAGACTGTATCCAACCCACCAACCGATTATGATTGGAAGGCACATAGCTCGCTCTGGCAATCCATGGCTGGGACGCTCGAGCCGCTAGCACCTGAGCTGGCTTTGCTGATGGAACGCGCCTGGACCTCTTTCTGCAGTGACAAGGCCGCCACCGATGAAGAACCTTGGCGGCAGCGGCGGCGACGGCCAGGTCAAGAGCTCAGTGCCCGCGCCCAGGCTCAAGCATGGCGCCGCGACAATCACTCGAATGTCGATAGTGATTCGGACGAGGATGAAGGCATTTCATCGACAGACTATGATGTGCGGGGCCGCAGCTCTCACGAACAACCGCCGCGCGCCCTGTTCTCTGGCTTTGGAGCCCCTATGCTGAGCCTGAAACCAGCCGCCTTCACGAGGCCCAAGGTGGAGCTTTTGGCCAACGACGGCATATCTGCAGATGCGCAATCTTGGTTTGCTTCCGCCAACCGTGAGGATGGAAGTCTCGGCCCAGCTTTGCAGCTGGGCCGTGAGCCGCCGCCGCCGCCACAGCGACCAGGGGCAGGGCAAGGTGGGCGCCCACGCTTGCAGGCAAAGCGTACACTCAGCTCGCTTTCTTCAAAGTCTGTGGGCGCTGCAGCGGCACGGCCAGTGCTGGCATACCCAGACAACCGCGACCGCCCAGCGCATATTCCAGCGGAACCCTTGGGTTCTTTTCGAAAGGCCAGTGATCCAGCGTTGCGCCGCGCCCTAGCACGAAGCGCAACCACGCCTGGAGTCGAAAAGACAGCCGTCAAGCCGCTGGCTGGCTTTGGGGGTTTTACCAAGGCTAGCGATCCGCTACTGCAGCAAGCGCTTGCCCAGCGTGCGAGTGCAGCACTGGAGCAGCAGCACGGGACGCAGAATAGTGGCCGAAACAGTGTCTCTCCTTGGACCAACGCGTCGCTGGCTCCACGCGCCGAGTCGCGCCAGCCTTTGCTCGAGCCAACGTCGCGACGAAAGCCCGTGGTGATTGACGATGAGGATGAAGGTGATCAGGCATGTAAGACAACAAAACATCCCCTACTGCAGCCAAGCCGGCTAGTCGCCAAGTCCAAGAAGAGCAAAGGTGGCCGGCCTGGATCAGGCCAGACATCGGCTCCTTCTGTGACGCTGCAGCGTTTTTTTGGCGAACCAGTTGCAGGTCGACGGGCTGAGGTGATGAGCACCAAACCACACGTGGTGCTTCGACGCGCCTTTGCGGGCTTGCCGACAGGCACGCATCAGGTCAAGCCGGAGCGTGAAGAACCGGTCTATAGCTGGGGAGTTCCTTTGTCGAAGAAGCCGGCACTTTGATGTGCACTTGTCATGTGCTGTGGTGCGGGCAGGAGTGTGTGTGAGGACTGACATGTGAATGCTAAGGTTGTGTGTAAGAGACAGACTAGATGCTTGATGAGCAAAGGATCAGGATTGAGTTGTTGCAGCGAGTGGCATCAAATTGACTTGTGATTGCGATGGAAGAAGACGCCGCAAAGGTTGATAAAACAGTTCAAAGAAGACTTAGACGCGGCGGCTGACATGAACGGAGGAGGCAAGAGAACAAGAATTACTGCTGCTGCTTATCATCTTCCTTGGCAGCTTCAGCTTGTTCCGCCTCTACCTCCTCGTGCAGGCGTTCTTCCTCCTCGTGCAGGCGTTCTTCGACCTCCTCCTGCAGCTCGGCAACCGCTTCCTCAGCCTCGTGGGAGAGACCCTCAGTGGGGAGCGCGCCGAGGGCGACGGCTTCTGAATACGAGTGGGGCTCTGGTCCCGGGTCGGAATGATGGCGGAAGAGGGTGTGTGTGGCAAGGTCGTAGTACTTGAGGCCAGTATCGTGCACTTCGCGAAACTGCGGGTTCTCCAGGGCCTTTTCGTAAAACTATCAATCAGCAAGGAATGGCGTCAGAGACAATCAGGCGCTCAAGCATCAAACGGTGGCCAAAGAGGAGGGATCGGACCATCATACCTGCTTGCCCTTGCTGACGGCATCTTGAACACGGGCATCATTCTTGACCGTGCTATAGAGACGGTCCAACTGCTCCGAGGCCAAAGCGACTGCACGCTGCTGGCGCACTGTCACCATCAGATCACCGGCTGCAACGAAAAAAGGGTACGTTTTAGTAAGTGCGTGCACAAAGCATCATGCCACCAAAGGCAACGGGGAGGAGCACACACATTCAGATGGAGAGGGACGGATGAAGCAAAAGAAATCAGGGATAAGAGGGAAAACCGCATCGCCTCACCTTTGCTGTTGATGGTACGGGCTGTCGAGAAAACGGCACCAGTGACGGCGGCCAGACGCTGGTTGGTGGCATCCATGGAAGCCGAAACGGCGTTGATAGCGGCATCGCGCAGCAAAAAGGTAGCGGTCAGGGCCAAGCCCATGGCTTGGAGCGAGAGGTCACGGAGTTTATCAGCAGTAGAGCCCGAGTGCAGAATGGCTTGCGAGGCTTGATCAATGGCGGCAGCGGTCAGGGACATCAGGCCGACAGCGGTACCGGCGGCATTGGAAACATATTTGGAGTACAAGTCAAGGGAGTTGCGCGCCAGGCGAGCGGCACGGCGAACAACAAGGCGGGAAACAGCACGGCTAGCTCGGCTCACGGCACCGCTGCGTTGGGTGGTTGCGTCATCTGAGCTGGCAGCCTGCTCCGAGGTGGAGTCGTCCACGGCGGCCACGCCTTCGTCGGCATCCAGGTCGCGGGCGACGCGGTCCAAGTGCTCGCGCGCATACTCCAGCAGGTCAACGGCCTGGAGGTTGGCGCGAGCCTCGGCGGTGCGGGTGCGCACATTTTGCAATTGACCCAGCGCATGAGCGTACATGCGAGTTTGCACCTATGGCGTTGATTGCATTGGGGTGAGTCGATGGTTCGGACAAGTTACCAGGATGCCAAAAACCAACGGGTGCTCCGGCAAGACAAGGGTTGTCGTGGCTACCTTGGAGGAAAACTTGCGGGCGTTGCCGAGGAGCTTGCTGGCTTCGGCACCGAGGGGGCGAGTGCGAGCATCTCGACCAACGACCTCTTGATTGGCATCGGCGGGTTCACGCTTGTCGTCAGTCTCAGTCGTCTCTTGCTCCTCCTGCTCCGCCTTGGCGGGCAGGTAGGCTTCCAAGAGTTGGTCAGCTTGGTTCAGAATGCCGGTGGTGACGTTGCACATTTTCTCCTCGGCCTCGGTCAGACGGCGAGTCGTGTTGCCGTACACATCCTGCTGCATCTGGTGCAGACTGGAGGCCAAGTGTTGGACACGATCGAGCTGCGCGCAGGCCAAATCGTCAAGTGACTTGACTGCAACGTGAAGAAGATACGCCAACGGGCGCGACAATGATGAGAGTCAGTGTGCATTCAAAGTGTGCCGTGTGCGTTGGAAGGAAGGGTAACAGGTGGGGAGGGGGGTGGCAGGTCGTTTGATGTGACCAACATACCGGTATCGGCATTGCTGTCGATGATGGGCATGGCGCGATCGAGCAGGGGTTGGGCACGAGTCTGCAGCTGCTGCAGCTGCTTCTCAAGCGCTTCGCAGGTACTCTTGACCAGGGGCATGGACTCGTTTTCCTGTCGCACGTGCAAGAGAACGCAAGATGTTGTCAGGTGGAGGGTGATGGCACGCAAAAGTGGCAGCGGGTGCTTGTTCGTGGGAACAAGGACGCAAAGGAGCCACGGGTTATGTGGGGTATCAGTCACCCTGGGTGGAGGACGCTCTCTCTGACCTTGCCGTAGGAAGTGTAGAGGGTCTTGGCCGAGTTCAAGGCACTCTCGACGTAGGGCAGGCTGGCCAAACGTGAGACAATGTTGGGCACGTACATGGACGCCGGCGCCGGGCGAGTGGGCGCTTCAACCTCCATCCTGAACAGTCCTGGACTAGTCGTTCACGAAGATGACGACTTTGGCGTGGGGGGCTGATGTTGTAAACAACAACAAATGAACGAACAACGGGGCAGGTTGTAGAGCAGGTCCGAAATGCAATCAGAACGCGACAGTTGCGGGGCTGCTATCGTCAAAGCTTCGACGAAAAAAATGAAGTTCCGCCGCCACCACAAATTGAGAGAGAGAGAGAAAGAGAGAGAGAGAGAGGGGAGTTTCAGTGGGTGACGTGGAGTCGTGTTTCGTGGTTGTCGACAGTTTGCGAACGTTCCCGCCAAAATCCTCGCTTGCTTGCTTCGAAGTCATTCATCAGGTTGGGAGAAGTCAGGGGTCACACAGGTTCTGCGCTTGCGTGTGCCAGCAGGTGCGAGTAACCTGTTGAAGAGATGGAGCTTGCGACTGTTGCAACATCCACAGCTCTTTCTGTGATAATTACCAAATGTCATATACCCGGCTGACGTAATGTATCTATTCAAAGTGTGATGTTCGTCACTCTAGTTGTCATTTCAGCTGCAAGGCTCCAATCCGATCCGATGCACATACGTAGCGCGCGGTCTTGACGGTTGTTGACTGGTGATGAGATCGCGCTCCCTTCCTTCCTTAAGCTTAAAGGTGGAGGCGATCATGCATGGCAGGCAGCACCAGTTCGATCTTGGCTGTCGCACGTGCAAACATGGGCGAAAGAGAGAGCAGCAGTTCAAACCGATAAAAGCAACAGCTGTTGACAACCGCTCAATGTTTGTCAGAATTTCAGGTCGAGCCCAAATGTCAGATTTTCTGTGCGAAGTGGAGGTAGCCGTTGTCCTCTTGTTCCGCTCGCACCCCTGGTCGGCTCGGCGCTCGGCAAGCGTCTGTATCGGCGCTCCGGCCTCGCTGAAGCACGACCTGGTTTGATTATTGATATTGAACTCAATCAACTCCTCTCAACACCAGTCTCTCTCTCCTGCCACTTTTTCTCCCATCCATCTCCACAGGATTGGACGTAGTCCCCGGGCTTCTGCGCGGACGTTCCAAAGACTGCCCAGTCGGGGTGCAAGTGCTCGATCGCTCAAGCACGCGCCCAATGCGCAAGAAGCCGTCATAAAGGGGGGGTGGCACACGTAGGTCTTCAAGCCCGCACAGATGGACCTAGCTACCCTCCGCGCTAAAGAAGAAGAGCTGCGCGCTCGCCTGCACCGCTGTCTCGAACTGGTGAGCCGGCATCACTAGCACACCCGCCGTGCCTGTGGCCCTTGCCGCAAGCCACTCCGCTCACGTCAATTCCAAACATCCGGTAAACTTATTGTCGTTTTGTGCATGGCCTGCAGGAGCAATCGTCAACGCCTTCAGTGGCGTCCAACTCACCCCCGGCCCCGCAACGAGCACCACCGACCACCCCGGCTCGACGTGGGCCGCCTGCACGCCCGCTTCAACCCACCCGCTCACCACCCCGATCCGTCACATTTGAGGTTTGTTCCAATCCTTTTCATTGTTCACCTTGGACACAGGTCCTTTGCTGATGTCCTTGCTGCGGGCTACTCCGCCACTCTGCTATAGGACGACTCGGAACTACAGGCTATCGAGCTCAGGCACCTCAAGGATTTGGTGCGCGATCTACGCCACGAGCTCGAAGCAGTGCAGCTCAGTCATGAAGCCGATCTGGAGCGCGTGCGATCTGCAGCCGACGCCGCCCAGCAGGTTGGCGGCCAGCTGTTCCTGCTACCCCGCCTGTCCCATCATCACAACCCGGTCCAGCTCATTTCGGTCCTACTCCATACAGAACCTAGTCAACCAGCATCATGCAGAGCTACAGCGCCTTCGTTCCGAGTGGCAAGCCGAGGTCGAGGATCGCCGCGAGGTGACAATCGACTTCAGGCACTCACCCTAACCCTTGTCATCCTTCACGCAGCTCCATGCGCTCAACGCTAACCTGCTTGCTTTGCTGGCTCTTTGCTCCGGTTGTCGCACCCGACAGACGTGGCACGCAGAACACGAATGGCGATTGGATGAGGTCTTGGGTCCTTTGCGAGACCGTATCATCCGTCACCAAGCAGAAGTGCAGGAGATATCCGCAAGTCATGAACAGCAGCAAAAAGTATGCGTCCGCGCATGCTCAGCGTGCAGTCCAGCGTATAACGGCAGCTAGCTCACCGACGTCCGTTGGTGGGGTTGACCCCGAAATGCAGGCCTTTACAGAACTGGAAGATCAACACGAGGAGCTCAAGCGCGAACACGCCATTCTTCAACATGCACAAACACAATGGCAACAACAGCTTCGCGAGCGTGAACACATCATTGAGGACCAGGAACGGCAAATGGCCACCATGCAGGCGCGCATCCGCCAGCTGACGCAACAGCTCGAATCAAACACTACTTCCCAGCACGACACCCTTATTTCGAACCTCACCAAGAGTCAGCGCCGCTGCTCCGAATTGGAGAACCAAGTCCGTGAACACGCTTTTTTTTTTTTTCTTTTCCCTTCCCATGTGCGGGACCCCTTCAGTCTCAGTCGCGTCCCTCACCCTCACTCGTATCCCCAGCTGCGCACCACCCAGCTCGAAAGACAACGGCAAGAGGAGCAGTTCCAGGCCCAACTCAAGAGGTTGCTTTCCACCTTCAATCTTGTCCTCGAACATGCATCCACATGCTCTTTAACACATTCATTAGCACTGCCTCATCCATTGCCCTGAATGGCCGTGCTGCTCGCAGAATGGGGCAAGATCGAGATGAGCAGAGCATCCGATCTGCTGAGCATCTTCAGGCCCTTGCCAAAGAATCAGAGCATCTCAAAGAGGTGTGTTACCATAACCGCCCATCAGGCAAAACCGGAAGCTGACTTTTCGTCTCATCGGTGGTTTGCTTGCGGGTCGCAGACGGTGCAGCGGCACAGTTCAGACATGGCTCGACAACGCAAAACGCATCGTGAAGAAATGGACACCTTGGTGCGCCAGCACAAAGAAGAGCTGGCCGAGCAACTTCGTCGCAGCCAGGAACACGCTCGCCGCGACCGACACCGCACCCAAGCCGAGGCACGCTCCTTAAATTTTAATCGCAGCTTGCCACGGGCCTTCTTTCGTCTTCTAAACCGTGTCCCCCATGCATCCGCAGGTCCTCTCCCTCAAGAAGCAGCGAGATGACATGGAGGCCCGCTGCAACGAGTACAAGCAACACCTTCTGTCCTTGCAGCGCAAACAAGAGGAGGCCTTGGCCCAAGAGCGGCGGCGACACAACAGCAAGGAGCGAGCGCTTGAGCAAGCCCTGGAAAAGGAGTTGCAAAAGGTCACCGCCGAAGTCTCCACACGAGTCAGTACAGACTGATCACGCTAGCTCTTGTGTGTCTGGCGCTGACTTGATGGGGCCTCACGGACCGCGGTGGCCTTGTTCCTGGGAATCAGGTCGAAGCTCGTGTGCTCGAGCTTCAGTATGATGTTCAATCTGCACAACAATCCGTTGAAGGCGAAATGAAGCAACAAAAAGCAGCGCTTCGCGATGAAGTCGAGCGAGCCAAGGAGGTAGTGACACTGGCTTGCTGCGTGTGCGCCTTTCGGTCTGGCACTTACTTACTGCACCCGTGCGTGCGTGTGTCAGAAACTGGCTGAGCAGAGTCGACGTTTTGCGGTAACCCAGGCCGAATTGGAGGCCGAGAACGAGCGTTTGCGTGATGAGGTGAGCCAAGTGTCTTGGATGGAGGCTTGCAAGCCGCACTTCTCCTCACAGGGCTCGTTGACAGCTCACCGCGCAAGAGCAAAAGCACCATCAAGAACTTGTACAGCTGGCATCAACCCGAACCATGGTGAGTCAGGCTCGATCTCTAGACCCGCCTGCCAATTTTTGTCCACTGCCTTCACACCGTGTTCTGCTGGTTGTGTACGACAGGAGCTCCAAGAGCTGGCCAACCAGCAGCAGCTACAGGCCGTCGAGGCAGCCTCTCAGCTTGCTTCGGATCGAGTATCCACGCAGCAGCGGATGGAAAAACATTATCGCAATGCGCTGGTCGAGGCTCGTGCTGCCTTTGATGCTGAACGCCAAGCACTTCAACGACAGCTGGACCACGACCGTACGGCAGTAAGTTGATCTACCGCGTGCACCAAGTCACGCCCAAATCATGCAGGCAACCAACTGTCATTTCTGAACTCATGTCTGGTCTGGTGCTGCTCTCATGACCTTGGCCCACCCAGTACCACGCGCAGGCAGCGCAAGCAGAGCAGCAAAAAGTGACCCTGCAAGCCGAGAAGCAGCGCTTACAGGAGCAAGTGCATCAGCTTGAATCGCGTTCGCGATCGCAGCACACTGCCGTCGAGTCTCAACTCAAGGCCTTGCAGGCTGAAAACAAGCAGCTGCGTGCTCTTGTCCGGGATTTGGAGTTGCAGGTTTGCGCAGCGGGGCGGGCTGAACTCGGACCCAGATTATCACTGTCTCCAACAGCCCATACATTGCTGGCTCATCCCCATTCCATCTGTGCTTGTTGATCCATCAGGTGGATCGCCAACAAGACTCACATCGACAACAGCTGAATGCGTTGCGCCGAGAACATCGGCTGGAGCTTGAGGTACGTCAAGCTCTTGGGTGTCTTGGTGGGATCAGTAGGCAGGCTCATTGCTTCATCTTTGAATATGATAGTCTCGATTGGATCCCGCACTGCAACAAGATTACGAAGCCACCATCGCTGCTCTACAAGCCCAGGCAGGTTTGGCGGCATGGTGGCCGTGTCCTCACGTCCGCTGTCATATGTACCACCGAGGCGTCCGTGAGACCCGGGACAACCTCCAGGAGGCTGGCGCGGGGAACGCACATCCCATCTCACCCAATGGGCCCTTTGCCATCTTTGCTGACCAGGTTCAGACGCTGAGTCGTGATGCAGCTCACGCCGCCCACAATATCAAGGGCCAAGATACGGCCTCATCCTAAGGCCCGACCGAGACGCCTGCGGACGCGTATGAGACGCTGCTGTCACCCTTGCTGCGGACTGCACTGGACTGCTCATAATGGAGAAACTTGATGGCCCGGTCTGTGTCTTCCAACTGGGCCAAAGCCTAGAGGCAGACGGGCGTCAAACAATGCACGGGTATCATTTGCGTAGCGCCTGTGTGCGCTTTCACTACGGACATACATTCATAAGTACGGCAATCGGGTGGCGTCCACAAATGGTATTCTTGGTTTCCTTCAGATACCGCGCAAAGCGCGGTGCATCCAAGCTTTCAATGATGTGCATCCCCTAATTAACATGTAAATTCGGTTTGAGTGCCGCTGTTCAAATTGTAGCCGCAGACCCGCGATTGCAACGCACCTCACGGTCCATGGACTCGATGCCCTCGTGAATTTTGTCCTCATAGCCCCGCTTGATGGGCGTGTAGCTGAAGCGGCTACCCCAATGGCAAAAGTCGCTGGAAACGACGAAAAAATTGTTGGGGTCTCTCACGTATGGTGCAAGGATCTGTCCAAACTCCTGCTCGCCAGCTTGGGAAAGCGCACCGACCATGATGGGCACCAGCTTGAAAGCATGGCCTTCCATGGCCTACCACGACAAAACATGACGAATTTTGAATCCATGGGTGACGCCGAATTGGGTGACGCCGGAGCGACATGTGCCAAGTGCCTGACCTTGTAGATGTATGGTAGATGCATTTCGAGCGAGTGTTCATCCTCGTCGACCTCTCGTGTCATGGAACGAAAGCGATTGGTTGCAGCCAGCTCTTCTACCACGTCAAGGTCCAGCTACATCCAGCAACAAGCAGGGATTAGACGGGGGAGGGGTGCCTGGTCTGGCTACTGGCCCGAGCATGGGGGGTTCGAACCTCAATGTTGCCCAGCGGCGTCTCATACGTTTGTACAGAGGGCAAAGCGCAGTTGTCAAGGTAGACGTGGTGAGAAGGGCCCAGCAGAAACACTCGCTTACAATTTCCCGCCACTGCCTGCATCTGAAGCGAGAATAGCGTAGCAAGGGGCCCCCGTGAGCAACCCATGGAGCCTAAAAACTGTGCAAACCTCCCAACAGGACGGCGGCAGAGACGTGAGTCCAACCTCTCGGTAGGCATAGGCAGCTGTGCTCCCCGAGTACGAGTAGCCTGCATGGGGACCAATGATGCCGCGGACATTGCTCAGTTGCGCCGGCCCCGCGGCTTCCAGCCACTGCGTGAGCTGCTGATTCAGGGCCGCGCCTAGTGGAAATATTGTTTGTTTGTGGCACAGCGGAAGAACATCAAGTCAGAAAAATGGAAGCAGAGCCACATGGAAGATGAAGCAATTTGACAAATGATACATTCAAGAGCCAAGCGAGCTTTGGGCAAAGGGCAAGGGCCGAGTCGAGCGCCTTCAAGCGCTGGATGCGGCGGGGACAACCACAAATCATCCTGACACTTTCAAGGGCTCCTCGACCCACGTCATGCGTATGACGCGGACTGGAACCAGATGTACCGCCATCGACCCAGGTTTGAGCTAAACACATCAATGCCTACACACCATCACTGCTGTACCAGCTACCCGCATGGCTAGCAGCCCGACAGGTCTTGCCCGCCCCAGCTCCCGCTGCCGTTCGTCGAAACATTTCTTCTTGTTGTTGTTGTTGTGTTGGACGCGAACGCCAGACGAGAAAGTAAAATACAAAACATGTCGCTCTCTCGAGCAAGCACCCCTCACCACTGTCGTCATTCGCATAGACAATTGTCAGCATCAGCCCACACGCTCTATTTTTCAGGGGCTGTTTGTCGGCTCTCTCTCTCTTGCTGGTTTCTCTGGCTCTGTCCCTCTCTCTCTGGCTCTGTGTCTCTCTCCTCTCTGGCTCTGTCTCTGTCTCTGTCTCTCTCTCTCCTCTCTGGCTCTGTGTCTTTCTCTGTCTCTGTCTCTGTCTGTCTGTCTCTCTCTCTCTCTCTCTCTGTCTCTGTCTGTCTGTCTCTCTCTCTCTCTCTCTCTCTCTCTCTCTCTCTCTCTCTCTCTCTCTCTCTCTCTCTCTCTCTCCGTCTCTGTCTCCGTCTCCTTTCTTGGGGGGGAAGGCGCGCTGTGGGGATAGGAGATTGGCTGGAAGGCCGGGTGGGAACGAGGAGGGGTCAGGATGGCGCAGCTACGGCGGCGGCTGGCCGGCGCCACGCTGTACAAGGTCAGGCAGGCAGTCCATGGGTAGCGTTGATCGGTTGGTGGGCTTTGCCCCTCGCCCTGCTGGCCTCACCTGCAGGCCATGGGTGGTCTAGGATCCTTTTGTCTGGGTGGTGAATAAGTGGGCGGGCCTGGTGACACAGGTCTGTCGTGCCTGGACTGCATGGTTGCAGGGGACTCTTTACGACCCCACCCAGCCTGACTTGTCTGCACGCCCCCACTTGGTTTGCTCCGTTGTCCAGGGTGAAAAGGATGGTCAATCTCTAGCTGCATACCTCAAGTATATGCGAATGCGTCACGATGATGACATGCGGTGCGCACCATGCCATTCCGCCCGACTGGGGATTGACATGCTATTTGCTCCGCAACTGATAGCTTGCTCACCCGTCCACTCAGCCTCGTTCATCGACTCGATCGTAACACCACCGGCGTTTCCTTCATCGCTCGGAACCCCGTCGTCCACGCTCTTCTACAAGATGTACTGGCCACCCATCAGGTACACGGGTGTCTGGCAAAACCATCAACATGCCTAGGCCGTCTGTCCACCCAACCGCTCGCCTGTATGGCAGTCTATGTCATTTGGAGTGGTGGTACCCTAACTGCTTATCGTGGGCTATCTATCGTCGGGACCTCATGTAGGCACAAAAGATTTATTATGCTACGACCCTTGGCGTGCCGTTTCCACGCAAAGGAGAAATTAAGGGTTACCTGACGCCGCACAAGAACGGGGTCAAGCTTGATGCCACGCCGCAAAACAAGAATTCAGTTTTTAGTCACACCCGCTATCAGGTTGTGGACGCTTTGGATCGTGAGGCCGCTCTGGTGCGGCTTGAACCCGTAACCGGACGGCGCCATCAGCTGCGCGCCCACCTGGCACAGGTATCACAATGCTCCACCTCGATGCATGCGACCGTGGGCTTGGATTGAGAGTCGCGCTGGACAAGTCTACATATGCACAAATGCCACCTACAAGCAGGGCAGCAGCCAACTGCTGATTCTCTCTAACCCACGCGGCTTGTTGCCTTGGCTTGCCATGCAGGGGCTCCGGACGCCAATTCTGGGAGATACGCAGTATGGTGTGGGTTGCAGCAATGCCCTTCGGCCGCTCCTCTTTCCGACCAAGGTACGGGTGTACAGTTTACTGGGCTGTTCGCTGCCACACGCCCGCGACCAATAGATCACATTCCCATGCCATCATGTCTGTAGGGACGACCATCAACCAAAGTGGTGGTCGAAGGCCTTCCCATGATGTTGCATGCCTTTGAATTGGTGATTCCCGATTATGCAACGCGCCTACAGGCCGTGGCTGAACCCCTTCTACAGCACCGCATTGCCGGAGCAGCGGCAACGGCCCGGCGTCTGGCTGAGCAGGAGGCAGAAAGGACTGCTGGCTCCAAGGGCAAATTCGCCCCCCAGGAGGAGGCTGAAACAGCCCAGACGGATGCACGCCCTTTGACTCCCGAGGAATGGGAGGCCTTGAAGCAAGATCCCCTGGTGCAGCCCTTACTGGCTGACATGCTCGAAGACGATACGCCAAAAAGAGGTGCAGTAACCCACGACACATCCATGCTAGAGCTCGCCATTGACGACCCTGAACTGAGAGCCGTGCTGCAAGACGACAATGGTGTGGCGCACGAGCTTGAGACTCAGCTTCGAAGTGCGCCAGCCACGCTCCGCGTGCGCGCACCGCTGCCCGAGGCCATGGTGGAAGCCCTGCACCAGCTGAATCTGTGGGATGCATCCCTCCGCCAGTTGCACCAGCACACCCGGCGACAGCAACGCTACCAACGCAAACCTAACATCAAGGCGCGTCGCCCCTCATATAATTGATAAGATGAATTTGTTAAAAAAAAAACCACTGAGATTTAACGCTAAAAACCTCAATTAGCCTGCTTCACTGTAAATTAGTCAATGAAAAACAACGGCGGTGCCCTGACCTGCGATCAATGTTCGTAGCCCGAGGCAACCTCGGAGAGACGCTGTCAAGAAGAAGATGAAGAAGAGGTGGAAATGGTCAGGGTCGCGCAGAGCAACAAAATTAAAAAAAACAATCAAAAAAGCCACGAAATTGCGAAAAAAAGGATGGAAAAGTCGGCTCTGGGACTTGGAGGACTTCTCTGAGTGGCCTCAAGACGGCTCATGGCCATGTTTGTGGTTTGTACCCGGTCTCCATGTTGTCTCCATGCTTTTCCATCACGAGCGCCAGGCACGCAGACGGACAGAGGCAGGAGAAGACGAGAGATCGACAAGATCAAGATCGAGATCCTGGCGATGGCGCGCATCTTTTAGCCCCAAACACCAACGCACCCATCCTGCATCACATCAACATCTCACATTTTCTCTTCATCTTTTTACCTAGTGACTGCATTGCGATCTTCAACATGTTGCCAAAGCTCGGCATCTTCCAACTACATGTCAGCGTCGTTGTTTGCTTTTTTGTTGTGCATTTGAGAGAGAGAGAGAGAGAGAGAGAGAGAGAGCGAGAGAGAGCGCGAACAGGTACAGAAACCGCAGGATTCGGCCGGGGTGGCTCATCACTCAAAAGGCAGCGCATGCTCGGGCATGAGTTTTCGGTGGAGTCGGGTGGCTTGTAGTGGAGGGGCTTGATGTTTGGGATATCGGTTGCTAATGCTTCGTGGCCTGATCGTGCGGCTTGATTGATCGCAGACGGATCCGCCTGATCCGGCCCACGTGCTGCGGCTCGAGCCGCGCATCACGTCGCCCGGTGCATTCGCTTCAAGAGCAGCTCGAACGTACCTGCCATCATGGCTGCGACCCTCACCCTTCAAGCGATAGTTCTTCTCGCCTCGTGTACGGCTTTGATCAAAGTTGCTCGGCCATCGAATCCTGAGCGTTCACACACACACCCCATATCCTCTAACTTGCCCGCCCACTGTCCCCTTCGCTTCTGATCTTGTCGCTTGTTTTGACTTTGACATCTTCCAGGTATTGTTGCGGTCACTGGCGAGCCTGTGCAGGTCGTTGCAAATGACAGTGTCCCGGTGACAGAATACTGCGCTCGGCCTGCCCAGCGCACCTCCAACACGCTTTCTTTCAATGTTACGGGAGCCATCCCCGAGGGCGCCTACCTCCAATACAGCATCCTTGTTGGAACCTGTGGAGGCAGTCCCAGCAGCAGCACCGCCGCCGTCGATGCCCAGCTGCTCGAGGCTGATACTGGCCGCAGCCTTCTGGTCCGTTCATGGTTTTGGTAACAGGCGCCACGTGTAGAGCCGAATCCAGCTTGTGACCACGCCCGGACAACCGGTCCTCTCCCTCACCCCCTTGCCCACCCACAATAGATGCCGCTCTGCGATATTACATCTGCCTCCTGCTCTAGCGTGCCAGGATGGCCTTTGCCTTCCACCACGCTGGAACTGCAAGGCTCCTGGCAGCGAGTTGTTGTACCGCTGCAGAGCTCCTCCACAACCAGGTGTGCACTGATGCTTGTCCCCAATGTTGCTTGGCCTGCACCAGGGGTTTTTTTTTTTTCCTTTCCGTGCGTCGCTACCACCCCATGCTCACCCAACCGTGTCCTCTTGCACCTTGTGGGGCAAAAATCTGCTTAGCACACTAAACTTTGTCGTGACGGGAAGTGCAACTCTGACTTATGCCATCGCTGATGTCATCATCTCTGCCGACTGCCCCAACATGTGCAGCAATGCAGGCACATGCCAGCACAACGGCACTTGCATGTGTGATCATGATCACGCTCCCAATGTCGATTATGGGTGTCTACCTTTACAGTCTGACACGGCGCCCTACTCGCCAGACTTCACCAACGACCTCAACTGGCGCTTTGTGCGCACCGGCCGTGGTACAGACACCTGCTCCAACACCGGATACACCCTGATTGCCAACGGCCCGGTCATCAACTTCGATCAGACCCCCTTCAGTTACATCTCACCGAGCAACGCCCTCAGCCCCCGCAGATGGCTGGAGACACCCGTCATCGACGCTCGCAACGCGACCGTCCTCGTGTTTCACATTGATATGGGGTCGTCCACCTCCTCCTCCTGCTATGTCAGCACTGCATACCGTCCAGCCTTGCTCTTCTCTGTTGACGGCGGCGTGACCTATCGCCTTTTAGCCGACCGCTTGGCTGCTGGTTGGGTAAGTCATGACGCTTTCGTATAAGGAGCCAGCTTCGGTTTGATCGTTCCTTGCAACCACTCACCTCACGACCCTTCCGACGCCGGATGGCGGATACCGTTGATGTGTTAGTCCTCGATCCCCATCCCTCCAACACAGCGCGTGCAAGGTGTCCGCTTCGCCATCATGCAGCAGGGCTCTTCACAGAAATTTGTGAGTTTTCTGGTCCATGCTGTGTTTGCGCCCATAACCGCTGACCACCTTTGCGTTTGGTCTTGGCTGTCCCCACCATCAACTCTAGGCCCTTTCCCACTTTGCCCTGGCTGGACTAAGCTCTGATGTTGGGTCGCGCTATGCGGGCCACCTGGATCTGGACCAGCCAAGCAGCATCTTCAGCTCGTTTTATGGTCAAAAAAGCAGCTTTTGTGCGTCGCCAGCCCTCGTGGCAGCCTCCACGTCGGCCGTCGCCGACATGTATTCCCAAACCTTTCTGCTCGCTCCCAATGCCAGCAACGTCCTTGAATTGGATCTAGCCCTGGGTTGCAACGCGGACGGTGCCGACACGTCCAATGGCTTGTCCATTGAGTACAGCCTCAACGGTGGTCGCTCCTTCTCTTACATCTCCTCCACCAGCTATTGCAGCTACGCGGCCAGCTGCTCCTACTGGGTGCCGGACACCAGCATAATCAAAACTCAAGACTTTGCGAGCGGGTTTCGGCGCGTCTGGTATGAGCTCCCAGCCGTTCAAGCACCCAACGAAGTCATGTTCCGTTTTCGTCCCAACTCGGGCCGCCAGCCTCTAGCATTGCGCGGCCTTTATATCGGCAGCTCCTGTCGCGGCAAGGCCTGTAGCGCGTTTGGCAGCTGCACCCCAACTGGTTGTGCCTGTCAAACCAACTTCAATTGGAGTACCGTCGATCAAAAATGCATGCCCAATGGCCGCCAAGCGACCGAGTTGCGCGAAGACTTTGCAAGCGCGCCCTCATCAACACGGTGGGCCGATGTGAGCTTGGGTGCCTGGACTGGATCAGGCACCCCAAAGTGTGGCTACGTTCAAGATGGTGGCGCGCTGGCCTATGACCCTCTCGTTCGTGTGCGCCTTCTGACCCAGCCCCTCGATACTCGCAACGCTGAACGAATCAGCTTTAACGTGCGATATGGCTCTTCACCAAGCATCGGCGCCTGCTCCGGCAGTGGGTCGACAGCTCGCCTGTACATTGGCTACAGCCTGGACGGTGGCCATTCGGTGATGGGTCTGGACACCATAACGTACACCTCCTCTGCATCAGCAACGCCCTTGTACTATGTCTACAACCTTCCCTCTGCTGCCCGCGACGCGGCGGTTAGCTTCATGTGGTGGCAAGCCAACCCTGACACGGGCGTTTGGCAGCTCGATGGCATTTTTATAGGTTACAGCGAAGGGCCGACTGCCATCTCCTTTGCTATGCCCCTCAACACATCCTCCGACCTAGCCCGCGGCGACTGGCTCTTCCCAGCCAATGTGGTTATTGCCTCGCCAGCCAGCTCACAGTGCTTTGGTGGTGCGCCAGCCGCAGTCGGTCGTACGGTGGGCGGCATCGCTGCCTCACTCACTACTCGTGACATGGGACCCAACCCTGAGACGCGTTTCATGGATGCCGCGCGGACCGTGTCAGACTTTGCTACCGTGGTCGGTGGGCAGGACGAGGCACAACTCTGTGGCCAGTCCCAGGCTGGCGTTTTGCTCAATCTGGCCGTCGACTCGAGCGATGGCGCTGCTCCGCGTAGCGTTACCACTCAACCCTTTGCCATTGATCACGAGGCTTACACCTTGACCTTCTCGCTTCTGCTCAGCGTGGGCGACTGTGACAGCCCTGATAATAGCGATGAGTATGTGCAATTCCAGTATAGTCTAGACAACGGCATTTTCGTGACCGTCAGATCATTTGCTTCATCCACCAACGGCTTTGCATTTGCACTGAATTCGGACACCTTTGTTGGTCACACCGTCGCCTTCCGCTGGATTCAGACCCATCATGGTGCCGAGGACGACTTTTGGGGGCTTTTCGACGTGTCCTTGGCTGGCCGTATACCACAACAGCCTGCGGTGCAGTTTGTGCTCGACCAGTCATGTGCAGGTTCTGGCCAGGTGGACTTGGCCTACTCCACTTCTTGGGGGCAGAGTTGGAGCTCCTTGAGTACCTGCAACCCTCTGTCCTCCAGTAGCTGCCAGACGCACACTGAAGCCGCCTTCCGCTATATTGACAGCGATTTCTTTGTCAGCGGGCCGCGTCGGTTGGCGGCGCAGCTGCCCGAGTCGAATCAGCCACTGCGCTTCCGCCTCAGTGGCGACTTTGCTGCTGCCAACTTTTCCTTTATGGTGGACCCCACCTCACGTTGCCCTGCTGCCTGCAACAATCACGGTATCTGCACCACCAACGGTTGCGTATGTGATGACGGCTATCAGACTGCAAATGAGACGTGCGTGGCGCTTGCAGGCACCAATCCCACGCTTTTTCGCGATGACGGCGTCCAAGTCACACCCGCTGACGGCTGGCAAGCCTTGGCTGGTGTTCGGCGTAGTGGCTCTGGCCGCAAGTGTGGAGTTCATGGCGCCGGTCCTTTGCTGTTTTTTACCAATGCCATGCGTATGGCTATTACTCGCGACTTGGACACAACTCACGCCGAGCTGCTCGAGGCTACCATTAATGGTGGCAACAGCAACCTCAACGGATGCAACGATGTGGACTCGTCAACTGAGGGTGTGGCAGTGAGTTTTTCTACAGACGGTGGACTCACCTATGAAATCCTCGCCACGGTGCCTGGCACGGACATTGACGACGGCGCCACGTATCCGCTTGAGCTGGCCCTTCCAGCTGCCGCTCGAGGTCGGGCCGTGCGGTTCATGTTTTGGCAGCCCTATGTTGCCTCGTCAACCAGCGGCGCTACCCTGGGCTATGACGAGTGGAGTCTGGATGAGATCTACGTCGGACCACAGCTCGAGGCACTTCCCAACTACCTCGAAGATAGTCTCGTGACGGGACGCGATGATGCCAAGTTTGTGCACATCCAAAATGCAGCAGTGGACGCCTACTGTGGACGACCGGAGGTTTTGCGCTTTGAGGGGCAGACCAGCGACGAAGGAACGGCCCAGATCTCGACAGTTTTTCTCAATGTGACCGAGGCTTCCTTTTTACAGTTTGACTTGGCCACCAATTGTGGGTCGAGAAACGACGACTTTGAAATCCTAATCCAATACAGCGACAGACCAGGCTCGTGGAACAACTTGCGCGCCAGCTGCAATCCATTGGTAACGACAACCTGCACAAACATTGATGGCAGCACTCTTTTTGCGGCCGATTATGGTGACACGTGGACTCGTATCACGCTGCCCATTAGTCCAGCCCCACACCGTCGGTTCCGCATTCGTGCAAGCGACAACAGTCGCTATAGCTTTGCTTTGGGCAACTTGACCGTGGGCCTTCGCTGTCCCATGCGCGAGGGCGCACCCTGCGGTGGGTTTGGGCGTTGTACGTCCGAAGGTTGCATCTGCGACGCACATGCTCGGCTTGACGCATCTGGGGCCTGCGTTTCCACCGCTGCGCAAGTCAGCTTTTCGGAAGAATTCACCCAGGGAGTCCAGTCGGATATTTGGCAAGTTCGGTCCTTTGGCGGCAGCACAGCGCTGCCCTGCAATGGCATGGGTGCTGGTGTGGCTGCCTTCTTTAGCGAGTATGCCACGCGTCGCTTGACGACTCAACCCTTGTCTCCGGTCGAGAACCAGTCCCTTTCTTTCTTGCTTATGTACGGTGACGACAGTAGCGGCTGCAACGCTCCGGATTCCTCAAATGAGCGCGTGGTACTACTCTTCTCGCGCAATAACGGTTACTCCTGGACTCGCTGGGGGGATTTTAATCCGGTGTCCAGTTACCAGACCGTGCAGGCGGTGACCATGGTCGTGGGCGCAGCCCAGGCCGGGCCAGGCGTAATGTTTGCCTGGACGCAGCCTGGCACGCGCTTCACCGCCAACTACGACACGTGGTATCTGGATGCCGTGACCCTCGGTCCCGCTGCACCACAGGCGCGGCCAAGCACACTTGCCTTCACCGCGGGTAGCGTCCTCACGCCAGCACCTGTCATGGCCTACACGATCAACGCTGCGGTGGATGGTTACTGCGGGCGCGCCAGCGTTCTCAAGGCGGCTGCTTCCGGAGAAGCGCTGGCGCTCATGGAAACGGCGCCAATCTGGCTGGATGCTGATGGTGCCGGCGCTTACGTGCAGTTTGACATGGCCGTTGGCTGCGGTTCCTATTCATCCTCCTTTGTGCGCCTGGAGTATAGCCTTGACTTTGGGGTGTCGTGGCAATCGCTGCTGCCGTCCCAGTGCAACCCGCTGTCGTCTCCGAGTTGCACATCGTGGGTAGGTCTGGGAGGCTCGGACTATTTTGCCGCAGCTTCGGCAACGTGGGTTCGTCATCTGCTGCCCTTGGAAAAGACCAATCTGGCTTCACGCTTGAATCAGCCGTTGCGACTGCGTTGGGTGGCGCAAGATTCAGTTTCGAGCGCTTCCACACGAGCCTTTGCGCTGGACAATGTCTACATTGGCTCCGAGTGCAGCACTACCGATCGCATTGGCTGTGGTCGGTACGGGCGTTGCGTCAATGCTACTTGTGAGTGTGATCTTACCTACGTTCTGAGTGATGCGGGCTGTGTGCCATCAGAGCCGCTCTCCGGCTTCAAGGAGGATTTTGAGGATGATCTCGATCCTCGGCGCTGGGCCCAGCTGAGCGGCGAAACCTTGAAGGTTTCCGAATGCACTATTTTTGCAGGGTCGAATAGCCGCAGCTTGCATTTTGACTCGGCATATGAGCGCTTTGCCATGACTGGCGACCTGGATCTTCGTCGTGGCCGCGACGTCTCCTTCATGATTCGCATGGGAAACAGTGCAGACTCAAGCTGCAACTCGGCCTCGGCTGCACAGGGTCTTGTTATCGCCTATAGCATCGATACGGGCGCTACCTGGACGGTGTTGAGTACATTATCTGGTATGGAGACCTACTATCAAGCTGAGCGCCTGCGTCTGGCCATTCCGGCGGCCGCCAAAACGCGCGCCACGCGGATTCTCCTTTACCAGCCCTCGCACCTCAGCACTGTTGGCTACGACGAATGGGCCGTGGATAATTTTGCCATCGTATCGCAGGACTCTGTTCCTTCAATTTTGCACCTCACGCTCAACGGTACAGCCCTCGATTCAGCCTCCTTCACGTTTGCCACAGGCACAAGTGGGTACGCATCTTATTGCGGTGAGCCCGCGTTGCGGTTTGCTACCGCTGGTAGCGCCTTCAAGACGTTCGAAACCGGTCTGGTGCACATCAACTCTTCGGACGCGTTTCTGCAGGTGCGACTTGTGGCTGCTTGCGGCACGGCCGCAGCCGTGTCGAGCAGCGAAGTAGTGCTGCAGTCGACTCCAGAGGGGAGTGGTACGGCGACATCGTTGACAGCTGCCACGTCCACTTGTGGGTCGAGCAGCTGCTCCTATTGGCAAGGCCATGGTGTAAGCTCTTATTTTTTGAGTGACTTCACCAAGACGTATCGACGCTTGACGCTCCCCGTGCGTGCTCTGAACTCAGCGCGTCGCTTTGAGGTCGGGGGCCCGGAAACCAGCGACACCTTTGGTCTTAGCGTGGCTGAGCTGTATGTCGGCAATGGTTGTGAATATGATTGTCGAGGCCATGGTTTCTGCACCCTGAACGGCTGTCGATGCGATGATGGCTATGATCGGACTGCAGATGGGCGTGGCTGCGTTGCGGGTAGCATGCCCGTGGATGCTGTCAAGGAGACCTTTGACGCGCCCGATCCCACAATCTGGAATTTGAAGCAGAGCTATGGTTACAAGTTGGCTGCCAATGGCGGCAGCTGTCAAGCGGTGGCTGATGGCTATGCTTTGCTTTTCAATCAACCGAACCTCCGCTTTCTCGTGACAAACGAACTCAATCTCACGAATGCGCTGGTCATCGAGTTGATGAGCAAGTTCGGCACGTCACCATACACCTCGCTCTGCCGACAACCATCTTCTAGCGAAGGGTTGATTGTGGCGTACAGCCTTGACTTTGGCCGCTCTTGGACGCGCATTACAACCGTCTCGTCCAGCACGTCGACGGCTTTTCTGAGTTCGATCAGCCTGCCCAGCAGCGCCCGGCGCGATGGAGTGCGCCTCGCCTTTTTCCAGCCGAGCCACACGGCATCCGAAAACTACGATGTTATCAGTCTCGACAACGTGTTTGTCGGTCCGTCCGCAAGCTCACCGTCCGTGCTTGAGGACGACTTTGACGATGTTGACGAGGAGAATTTTTTGTTTGTCACCGGTGGCGATGTGCGAACGACATGCGGGCGAGACAACAACGTCTTATACTTCTCTGGGACAAGTACGGCGGAGCTGAGCGTGGTGACGCGCGTGCTAGACCTGCGACCCAGCCTTGTGTCCCTCCTTCGCCCGCCAACCAGTTCTGAGGTCGACAGCCCGTACGCACAGGCGGTTGGTGCAGAGTTTGGCACATTTTGTGGCCTGACCAATGCTCTGGGCTTTCAACTTGCCTCTGCCGATCGGCTACTCGAGACAGAGGATTTGTTTGTTCGCACGGATGGCCTTCGTCTAACTTTTACGGCCAACGTCGGCGTTTCGGGTTGCGAGCCGCCCGAGGCCGGGGACATCGTACGTCTCGAGTACTCGCAAGACAGCGGCGCAACCTGGACAACGTTGCAGACTCTCTCCGGTGCACAGGCCTACAGCATCGCGATGGACAATTACCCAGAATTTCGCAATGGCACCGTTCGTTTCCGCTGGCGTCAAGCTGTCTTCTCCAATACCGCTCCCGGCAATGACGCTTGGGCCCTGGCTGATGTGCAGCTGGCCGGCTATCCATTGCTAACAACTTGGGTGCAATTTGCCGCACGCGTTGGGTGTGGTGACACAAGTGCCACGGTACCTCTGCAAGTGTCATATAGTACCGACGTTACGGGTTCCTTTTCACCTGTGCCTTACAGCTGTGATGGAACGATCTCTTCATCCTCGTGCAAAACGATGACCTTTTATCAGGGCGAAATTTATCCCGCACAAGCCGGCGAATGGCGACGCTTCGCGTTTCCATTGGGCACTTCCATTGGTGATTCGGTGCGACTGAAGCTGGCCATGACTCCGGGCAATGTTTTTGCCGTGGACGACCTTTACATCGGCCCAGGCTGTCCCAATATGTGTAGCGGGCACGGTCGATGCACGGGATCGGGGGCTTGCATCTGTGATGCTGGATATAGCGGCTTGGCCTGCGACCGCAGTGCTGCTGTGCGCGCGTACTTGCAAGACACTTTCACGGGCACGTCTGTAGATCCGAGCAAGTGGGCGGTGGCCACTGGCGTTATCTCATCATCGTGCGCGAGAGTCCCTTCTCTGTACTTTCAGGATAGATCAGTCAATCAGGAGGCTCTGACGCAACCTCTCAACTTGACCTTTGTTGAGACCGTCTCTTTTGAGTTGATTGGCTGTGGTACCTCTTCATACTCCGTCACCTATATTGGTTTGGCATGCACAACCGACTTTGCTCGCTACTCAGTCTTTTGGACGGGTCGAGCGACGAGCAGTAGCTATGCCGCCGCTTTCACGGTGTCCATCCCCCCCACCTGTCGCCAGAGCTTTGTCAGTCTGCGCTGGCTGAGTACAGCGCCGAGTTATAACTTTCCGTGGGCTCTGATGAACGTGTCCCTGGGCGGGGCGTGCGCTTCATGGGGAAATTGTTCCGGGCCAGGTCAAATTTGCCTGGAGTCGGGTAGTGACGCTCCGCCCTCGTGCTCATGCGCAGAGGGTTATGTCCAAACAGGCAACATGTCTTGCGTACCTGGTTAGTATTTTGTCTGTTCCTCTTGAAGCAATAGCTTACATGGTTCAAAGTTTTAAAATCTCATATGCTGAATGGCACTGCCTTTCTAGACGTCTGTGAAAGCACAGCATGCACAGCAAGCTCGTCATGTAAGATTGCTGCATGCCACGCAGGGTTGGGTTGCATTGAATCAGCCAAGCCAAATGGACTTGCCTGGTACGTTTCAAACCGCTTGCAAATCAAGGCATAGGCATGTTGATCGATTGTATTCATTTAACCCTGCTCGGAGCCTAGCCCCGCTCTAGCCCTCACTTGTCATCTTTCCACTCTTGTGCCTCGCTGCACCCCACATAATTTTTTTTTCTTCTGCTTTGACTGCCCTCGCATCGCGGCGTGCCGCATGCAGTGACGACGGTCGTGACTCAACAATAGACGACATGTGCCAGGACGGCGTTTGTGTCGGAACAGATTACTGCTCTACCGTGACGTGCAGTCTGACAACTACATGTACCGCTAGTGTGGCATGTAACTCCAGCGCTCGAATGTGTGAATATGTGAACCTACCAGATGGCAGCATATGCGATGACGGTCGCCCCGAAACCTACAACAGCACGTGTCTCGGTGGAACGTGCATTGGCCAACTCGACCCCTGTTTCAATGTTTCCTGCGCTAATACGGTCCAATGTGAGGAGAGCAGCTGTGATTCCATGACCGGCCAGTGCATTGCGGTGGCGCTAGACGATGGAACGCCGTGCTCCGATGGCAATGCCAGTACTCTTGATTCGTGTGTCAGTGGCGTGTGCGTGTCGACCGATAATTGTGCCAACGTCACGTGCGACACAGTTGGGCCTTGTGCCAGCGCTGCTTGTGAGCCCATTTCAGGAACCTGTCAGTCCTACTTTTTTCCCGCGGGCCACAACTGCGACGATGGTAACGCCAGTACAATTGAGGATCAATGTACTGCTGATCACCTGTGTGTCGGGCGACCCGGCTGTGACTTGATCGTTTGCTCGCCCGTGTCACAATGTCATGCTACCGGTGAATGCACCGATGGCACTTGCACCACTCCAGTGCTACCTGATGGCACCACATGTGATGACGGTACGTCTGCTTGGCTCGTGGCCCTGACTTGTGGATATGTTTTCTTGTTGCCTGGACGCTAGTAAACCTTGCATGATTTTATGCGTTTGTCGTTGTTTCTGTGATCCAGGAGATGTGCGAACCATCGACGACAGCTGTCAGGCGGGGGTATGCAGCGGTGTGGTGGACAGGTGCTACGGCGTTGTGTGTAATCAGACTTCGGCCTGCATCACTAGTGCTGCTTGTGATGGTGGCATTGGGCAGTGCGTGTATGACTATGCCAGTGAAGGAACGTCTTGTCCAACTGGCGTATGTCAATCAGGCGTTTGCATCACGCCTCCTGAAGACTGCAACGTGACTCAATGCCCCGAACCCAGCAACCCGTGTCTGGTAGCCGCATGCGACGCGCTTGCGAATCGATGCACGCACGTATTCGCCCTTGATGGCACCTCTTGTACTAGCGACGAGGTGCCAATGACAGGTCGCTGTGTATCCGGTACATGCGAGGCTATTCCGGATCCTTGCGCCAATAAGGCGTGCCCAGATCTTGGCCCTTGCTTTGTGCAAAGTATCTGCAACAATCGGACGGGGGAGTGCAGTGCCACGCCCATGCAGGCGGGCGCGCCTTGTGATGATCAGAATGTGTGTGCTGCAAAGTCTGCGAGTTGCGTTGCTGCTGTGCAGAGTGCAGAGTGCAGCCGCATGCCTTTACTCATGGTCTGTCGTTATCTTATGCCAAACCCTAACCATAGAATGCCACGCTCAACGACGTCTGCGATGGTGCCGGCGTGTGCAGTGGCGTTCGTGACCCTTGCGTCGATGTGAGCTGTGCTGCCCCGGCCTGCCAATACAGCTTGGGCTGTAACGAAGGGGCTTGTCGTTTTGCGCCCGTGGCAAACGGCACAGATTGGTACGCGGAGCTTCTTTAGCCTTTCCTTGTCTTCATCTTCAGCGCTAGCGCTTGGTTGTCATGGGTCTCATGATATTATCATTTCTGCATGTGCAGTAATGACGGTCGTGCAAACACGCTGGGCGACCAGTGCCTCGCGGGCGAGTGCATTGGGGTGGATTTGTGTGCAGGCATTGTTTGTGATCCAGGACCGTGTCGCCGCAGTGCCATCTGCCACCAGGGTGAATGCTTTGTGGGCACGCCCCTGATCGACGGAACGTCGTGGTAGGGACTTGCGCGGGTCTCTTCTGGTCTCTCATCTTGCTACTTTCAAGCTAAGAAGCATGGTTTGTCTTAACGTTGTGGGGTTGTTTGCTTGGTTGCTACTTTGGATGCAGCTCTGATGGTATGGCAGAAACAGTCAACGACACATGCGTTGCCGGCACTTGCCTTGGTGTTGTGCCAACGACCACTACCACGACGACGACGACGACGACGACCACAACGACCACAACGACCACAACGACCACAACGACCACAACGATCACAAGAACAACTGCCACAACCACGACGACAACTATGGCAACGGCGACATCATCAAGTACGACTGCTGCAACTACAAAATCTGCAGTGACCACCTCGGCGCCCGCGGCAAGGACCACTTCTTCGAGCTCACAAACTCCATCCAGCACCACCAAGAGTGGAAATGGCGAGAGCAACAAATCGAGCAGCTCGGCCAAATCCATGGACGATTGGATTCCCATCATCATCGCTGTGGTGGCAGGTGTCATTCTGCTGATTGTTCTCATCATTGCAATCACGTGCTACAAGATTCGCACGGCCAACCGTAAAGCGCAACAGTACACCGTGGCTGACCGGAGTGCGACCGTTTTTGCCAATCCAACCTGTATGTCTCGACCAGCCATTTCACTTTTCCGTAACGTTGTGCCTCTTTTGGTTAAGCGTGCCATTTAGTAAGTCTCACGCCCTCTTGCTTGGTTTTAGACGACGCTTCGCGAGACCGGTCTGGTGACGACGACGGCCTCTACTACCGCACCAGTACGTCCATGCCAAGTGTGCAGCTTTGCCTGCAGTCTTCCGCCGTTTGTCACATGCATGCCTGTGCTTTGTCCCACACGTGCCTCGTAGGCATGGCCCATTCAGGCTCTCGCAACGAGCCATTATACGCTGAAGGTATGTTTGAGAGCGTACGCCACAGATGCTGTCGAGATGTATCTGGTTCATTTATCGTGCAATCTCAACTGAATGCTCTCGTTCTCTCTTTTCTTGTAGCCAATGAAAACCCAGACTTTTCTGAGCCCGGGCGCTTGGATACAGCCGGCTACCTGACCGTGGTGCGAGACGGCGGAGATGATGACGTGGAGCTATGAGCCTTGTTAAAAGCACATGGCACATTGCATCCTTGTCGAGCCGTTGTATGACGTTCTGCGAATGTATTGTTCGGATCATGGCCCCCCTCGATGCACCGATTGCTTATCCATGTCATGTACGGCCACTGTGTTTGTGTTTTGGAGAACCTGATCTGCTTTGAATCTCAATTGATATGAAAAGAATAATTTTGTCCGATGTAGCCTTCTCAGCTCAGCCAAGTTGGCAACTGCAGGGTCAAAGAGTTTTGGAGGCCAGGCGCGAGGCTTCGGCAATGGGGGGAGGAATCGTTGTAATGCAGGGGCGGAGGTGGGGTCAGTATGGTGCCTGTCAGATTGTCTGAGTGGGCGAGTATAGCTGTGTAGCATGACACTACTGGCTCAGTTCATCCAGATATCATCTGAGAACAAAGGCTGCTGTATTCGAATCAACACTTGAACACGACGTCTCTATTGGTGCTCTTCACTTTGTGCCAGGCGCGCGCGGTTGAGTCGGCGAAGCTCAATAAATCGCTGCGTCTCGCGCTCAAAGTCTGCATCTGTCATGCTATCAATGCCAGCATCCATTCAAATACCGACGAGATGCACCGGGCCAGCAACACAGGTGTGAAGGTGTGAGCTACACAGACAAGTTGAGTCTGACCAACAAGAGAGGTGGCGCACAGATGTTGGTGGCGGGTTCCTCGCCCCCTGCGTGATCGACAAAGAGGCCAACGTACTGTGATGCGATACAACGCTTCATAATGTCATTGACTTCGCGACATGCCCAAACGACAGAGATGGAGCGGCCCCGGGCGCAATCAGCAAAAGCTGCAGCCACCGGCCAAGAAAGGGCACATGAGGGGCAAAAGCAAGGGACTTGGTCATGAGGCTCCAGCCTTGGTGAACGACAGGCCTATCTTGTATGCATAGGCCAACTGGACGCGAGGGTTCTAAGCGAGCAGACAGACCTTTCATCTCGTCTTGGCAAAACTGCCCGGCGCTCTCCTTGACCATTTTCCGGATGATGACCTCCCGCTCAACGTGGCGGATGTGATCATCATCCATGTTGAGGGTCGAAGGCTGCTCCGCACGCTTCTCAAAGGGCTTCATCCTACTGTTGACTTTTTTTTTTTCACCTACAATCACCCAAACCAATGCAAGAGGCCGCCGTCAACACCACCCCGAGCCACCCGGCGCTCACTGCCCCGACACAAGCGCGCGCACACACACACACACACACACACACTTCAATGGATCGAAATGCCGGTGCAACACAAACCACAGAGGAACATTAGTATTATACTTTTAATAGTGCGATATGTATTTTACTTTGGTCTAAAAATTTCAATTCTTTTTTGTCTACCTCGGGTGAGCTATGGTTCTGGTAAGAGGGTAGCGCAGCGCGGGCAAAGCTCGTCTTCGGCGTCCAGGCAAGCAAAACGCCAGCACCGCATGCATTTGTGGAGATGGGTGGGTGTCACGTGCACTGCCATGTCTGCACCCGCCTCGTCGACTTCGACGTCAAGCTGCAATTGAGGCCATCATCGACACATGGTGAGTGCGTAGGCGCATGACAGGGCAAGTTCTGGTGCCCCAAAAGTATAAGCGGCTCACCTGGCTGACGAGCAGCACCTCGGTCAGCGCATCATGATCAAGTGCTTCGTAGACAAGGCGGCCCGTGGCCGAAGGGAGACGCACGCTCACGCGCGCATCACTACCACCCTTGATGGCGCCCGTCTATGAACAAGAACCAGCCAGCCATACAGCAAGGGCGTAACAAGTCGGGTCACAACGCGACGTCAGATCTCAGAGGCGGTTCAAAGCGTGAGAGGATAGCCGGTCGAATCGGCTGATTGTGGCTTTGGCACCAAGAGCAATTATGTACGTACCTCACGCGTGGCTTGGACCAGGCGGAAAACCTCGCGGCGCAGCTCTCGCACAGCGTCGAACCGCTCGCCGAGAGCCGGCTGGTGCCACTCCGCGAAGGATGTCCACGGACGGAGCATCACCGAGCTGTGAGCCTCACTGGCAGCACCATACGTCTTACTAATTTCATAGGATTCCTGTGCCAGCCACAGCGGAAATACAGGTTTGATCAATGTGAACGCTGCTCGCAAAACATCCTGCGCTCACTCACATACCTCAATCGTATGCACCAAAATCGGTGCCAGAGCTTGCTCAAAAGCCGTGAGCATGTGGCGCAGAACGGTGAGTGTGGCAAGGTAGCTGCTGTCTTGGCCACCAGCGTACAAACGATCCTATACAAAGGTGCGGGATGATGGGTGGTTGGTGAGTTCAGGATTGCCTTGTGACGGCTGGAAAGTAGTGTCAACACAACGTCCTCGCAAAGTACCTTGATAATCTCAAAGTAGAATCCAGAGAGGTTCGTTTGGATAAAGTTGAGTGTTATTTGGTGTACGCGAAGAAAATTGTGCTGGTCATAGGCTGCCTTCACGCTGCCTGCATTGACACCGTGCCACCCAGCCGCAAATGTTGAATGTGCATGCTATTACGTGCAAGTTCAAAATGCTTGCTTGGCGTGCAAAGGAGGCAAAACCGACCTTCGTAGTCGGCGAGGAGATGCATCAGATAAGCTTCCAGTGAGGGAAGCTCTACTATTGCCGATCCACTTGCCAAGGCCGGCTCTGCAGCGCCAAGATTGCCATGCATAAATCTATTCGCCAATCAACAGCGGATGAGGCCTGGCCCTTCAAAGCCTTTATGCACGCAAAAAAGCAAGACGCGTCGACACAGCGGACCGCACCGCAGAGCGTTGCGGATCTTTCGCAGATTTTCGTGAGTGATGCGTAGCGTGTTGGGGCCAATGGAGACGTCTAATCGCAAAATGGCGCCAAGCAAGACGGGTAAGCTGGTCGAAACCGGTGCAGTCAGCTCAGCGCGTGGACCGTGGCAGCCGCCTGGATCCATTGTAGCTTACCATTGGTGTAATCAACCGAGGCAGCCCACAGACGAAGGGTGTCTGCGCCGTAGGCCGGCTCTTGCTATATGTTTCGACAACCATTGGTGCGTGAGGGCGAGCAAACGGGGACTCGGAGTCGGGCAGGGGAGGCACGGGTTACCTTGAGGTTCTTGCCACCGTTGATGACAACGCTCGGGTCCACGCCGTTGCCCAGTGACTTGGACATTTTTTGACCTTGCTCATCAAGCACAAAGCTAAAGGTATGGTCAATGAGGGTTCGAGTCACAAAGCACGACATCAAATTTTGGAACGAAGTCCGGGCCAGCTGTTTTGCTAAAGTCCACGCACCCATGTGTAAGCAGCTGGCGATAGGGAGCTTGGCCATCTGGGCGGGTCGCCGATCGCAACAATAGACTCGACTGGAACCAGCCACGATGCTGATCTGAGCCTTCCAAATACACATCTGCTCTTGCGTTCTGAAATGTTCCGTCAAAGGAGCATGGGAGTGGGGGCGTGAATGTTGTGGGGTCAGCAGGTGGTTCGACACGAGAGACAAAATGGCTGCAAAAGTAAAAGTAAAAACTTGAGCTACGCACCTCGCCGTGGTCAGCTTCAAGCACGGCGCTCCAAGAGCTACCGCTATCAAACCAGACATCCAGTGTGTCCTACACGGAGTGCGTGGTCACATGTAATTGGCATGCACATCCCACGCCAGCGGGAAATGCCAGGACGGACGCGGTTAAAAAAACTCACGGTCGACTTTTTGTAGCGAGTGGCCTGCGCTTGCAAATCCAAGGGGAGCAATTCGGCAACCGAGGCTCGCCACCTGTAAGGATCCAGAAAGCGGTGGTGGATAACATGAGAGATGTGCATCTGCTGAGCAAGTTGGCTTCACGACAAGGTCACGAACCAAAAGTCCGAGCCGTGCTCTGCAATGCACTCGCGTATGTGAGCGAGTGCTTCAGGTGCCACCAGAGGCTGATCTGTCTCCTACGCGACCAGTAAGTGGAGCGTGTGCATCAAAAAAAAAAAAAATGGATCAAAGGGAAGCGCAGGAGAAACAGGAGGCTCGCGGCAAGGTGGGAGAAGGAAGAAGTACAAAGCGAAACAGAAGGACCAGGACAATCAAGCCTACTTGGTCGATGAGAACAGCAATGGGAACGCCCCACGCGCGTTGGCGGCTGATGCACCACTCTTGGCGCGTTTGTAGCATACTGCCCAGGCGTGCACGGCCTGCCGGGGGGTGGATCTATCATGCAGGGTGCGTTGAGGAATGGCTCAACTGCCGTCGAGGTCAACATGGAAGAGACCAAAGTTCGTACATGGACGTCGGCTAGGGCGTCGCGCGCGTGTTCGCCAATGTGCCGGAGGTCGGCAAACCACTGGCGCGTTGCACGAAAGAGCAGCGGGGTCTTGGTACGCCAGTCATAAGGATATCGATGTTGATAAGCTTCACGATGCACCAAGCTGCCTGCGGCCTCAAGTTGACCCAGCACGGTAGTGTTGCCTTCACCCAAGACCTCGAGGCCTACGTTGACGGGGTCGGTACAGTAATAGAGACGAGGTGAGGCAGAGAGAGCGCTTGTCGGCGTGGGCATCTGTCAAAGTTACACGGGTCAGGTTCTGACAAACCTGCTAGTTGGGGGCCAGCTGCATCTCGATAGCGACCACGACCGTCGACGAGGTTAAATTCCACGTCAATACCAACGCGCTGGCAGGCTCGAAAATCCTCTACGCCATGCGCTGGGGCTGTGTGGACCACGCCCGTGCCTGTAGAACCGGCACGTCCACGCCCGGGACTGAGGTGAGAGATGCAGCAATCATGAGGGCTGTCAGAAGAGCATGCGAGCAACGAACCGGCGTCGCTGGTCACGTGGTCTCCCGCAATGAAGGGGATAGTCCTACAGAGGTAGATAGAGGTACCATGAAATGAGAAGTGCATCAAAAGACGTTTTGCTAACGAGTCTCTCCATGGATGCGGTCATGCGAGACGGATTGAAAGGTATAAAGATCAGTACCGGGAGTGCAGGGGGTGCTGCGCCTGGAGGTCACCAAGGGCTGTGGCAGGAACATCTTGGATCACGTCGAGGGGTTGTTGTAGAGTTTGGCGAAGAGCCTCGAGGCGGTCGTATGCAATAAGGAGCAGCTCATGGGCTTCCGGAGTAGGACGTACAAGAACATAGCGAAGGCCTGGATTGAAGGCTAGCGCTTGGTTGGCTAGAAGCGTCCACGGGGTGGTCGTCCAGATGAGGGCCGCGATGGGGGTATCTGGGTCGGTGCCAGTGGGTCGGTTGATGAGCGGAAAGCGCACGTAGGCGCTGGTGCTCGTGTGGTCGTAGTACTCCACTTCAGCCTCGGCGAGGGCTGTTTGGGATTGGGGCGACCATTGCACGGGGCAGAAGCGGCGATAAACGAGGCCTTGATCAAGCATGTGGTGAAAGAGCTTGAGCTGAGCAGCCTCGTACTCTGGGGTCATGGTGATGTAAGGGCGTTCCCAGTCGGCAAGAATGCCGAGGCGCTTAAAGAGGGTGCGTTGGCGGTCGATAGCACCAGCTGCAAAGGTGGCGGCAGTTTGCCGAACGTCGAGTAGTTGGGCCGTGGCATTGGCGTCATCATCTGCGCCCTCGGAAGCATCGGTGGAGCGGACCGCCGAGACGGCCTTTACCTCGATGGGGAGGCCGTGGCAGTCCCACCCGGGGCGAAAGTGGACCGGGCGGCCTTGTAGAGCTTGGTAGCGACAGATCACATCCTTGAGCACCTGCAAGCGGGGTCAGTGACATCAAGCGCGATGAGACGATGGCAGCAGCAGCAGCAGCAGCAGCAGCAAAAGAGTGAAAGTTCCGACCTTGTTGAGGACATGACCCATGTGCAGATCGCCGTTGGCAAAGGGCGGTCCGTCGTGCAGGATGAAAGCAGCGGGGCCATCCTCTGAGCTTGAATCGGCGGGTCGGTCGCGCAGCTGCGGGTAAAGCCCTGTGAGACACTCTTGCTGGATCCGGGGCTCGACCTGCGCCGCATTCAGGCGCATGGGGAAAGCCGTTCGTGGTAGCCGGAGGGTATGGTCATATTTTTTATGCTGAGGGCGTGCTGCATTCTGCTGATGACAGGCCTCGCGGCTGTACCGCAACGAGCGCCGCACCACCCCCAGGCGGGCCAGCAGCCTAGGCGCCGACCGCGGTCGGGTCGCCACTGCACTCCAGATCAGCGCGGAGCTCATGATGTACCACTAGTCCGCGCGCGAGTGTGCGCCCTCTCAACGACACCCACGCGCCGCGTGCTGCGACAACGACGACGGCAGCGACGACGACGACGACGACAACGGCGACGATGACCCCCGATGTAAAGTCACACACCCTCGTGCGTCCCCAAAAAACTGGGTCCGCAGTTTCACACACACACACACACACACACACACACA